TTTGTTATGTGGTATGGGAATTCTGTTAATTTTGAATGTTGACTTTGCAGAATTTAGTTATTAAATCTAGGAGCCTTTTGGTGGAGTTTTTGAGGTCTTCTATGTAGAGTATCATGTCCTCTGAAAATAATGAAAATTTAATTTCTTCCTTTCCTATCATATTCCTTTTATTTCTTTCTCTTGTCTAATTGTCCTAGCTAATGTTTCCAGAACATGTTGAATAGGAGTGGTGGTAGTGAATATCCTTGTCTCATTCCTGATTCTAGAGTGAAAACTTTCAGTTTTTGACCATTTAGTATGATGTTGTCTGTTGGTTTGTCATAGATGAGGATTTTGTCAGATTGAGATTAAAAACTTTCCATTCATATTTTCTCTAGGGTTTTTATCATGAATGGGTGTTGGACTTTATCAAATGCTTTTTCTGCTTCTGTTGAGATGATCAGGTGATTTTTGTCCTTGGCTCTGTTGTCATGGTATATTATGCTTATTGATTTGCATATGGTGAACCATCCCTTCATCCCTGGGATGATTTGTACTTGGTCAGAGAGTATGATCTTCCTAATGATTCTCTGCATTCTGTTTGCCAGTATCTTATTGAGGATTTGTGTATCTGTGTTCAATAGGGAGATTAGCCTATAGTTCTTTCTCTCTCTCTCGTTTTTTTTTTTGTTTGTTTTTTTTTTTGGTTGAATCCTCTCTACTTTTGGTATCAGGGTAATGCTTGCTTCCAGAAATGAGTTTGGGAGTATTGCTTTCCTGTCAATTTCATTAAAGAGCTTGAGGAGTAGTGGCATTAGATCTTCTCTATCGTGAGTTCGGTTCCTGGTACCGGAGAAAAACCAAAAAAAAAAAAAAAAAGATCTTCTCTAAATTTCTTGTAGAATTCAGCAGTGAATCCTTCAGGACCTGGGCTTTTCTTTGTTGGTAGGTATTTAATTGCATTTTCATTTCATTAATTGATATTGTTTTATTTAAAATTTTTATATCTTCATGATTCAGCTTTGTTAGTTCATACATATCTAGGAATCTGTCAATTCTTCTAAATTTTCCATGTTATTAGAGTACAGATACCCTAAATAGGTATTGATGATCTTCTGGGTTTCTGCAGGATCTGTTGTGATTTTACTCTTTTCATTCCCTAATCGCATGAATTTGAGTCTTCTCTTTTCTTTTTTTGATAAGGTTGGCTAAGGGTTTATCCATTTTATTCAATCTTTCAAAAAGGCAACTCAATTCATTGATTCTTTGTATTGTTTTCTTAGTCTCTATTGCATCAGTTTCTACTCTGATCTTTATAATTTCCTCTCATGTGTCCTTTGGGTTTAACTTGCTTTTCTTTTTCTGGAAGCTTGAGGTTTAACATTAGATTATTTGTTTGAGCTCACTCTGTTTTTCTAATGTGGAAATTCACCACTATAAATTTCCCTCATAGGAAAATCCCTCATATTGCATCCCATAAGTTCTGGTATATTGTATTGGCATTATTATTTAATTATGGAAACTAATTTCTTTTTTTAATTTCACCTGTGACCCACTCATTGTTCAGGAGGGTATTATTTAATTTTTATGTGTTTATGCAGTTTTTGTGATTTCTTTTGCCATTGATTTCCAACTTCATTGCACTATGATCTGATAATATACATGGGATAATTTAATTTCTTTGCCTTTACTCACATTCCATGAGCTAATATGTAGTCTGTTTTGGAGAAAGTCCTGTGTACAGCTGAGAAGAATGTGTATCCTATTGTATAGTGGAACACTCCATAAATATATACTAAGTTCATTTGTTCAAAACTTTGGTTCAGCTGTGATATTTCTTCATTGAATTTTTGTCTAGTTTATCTGTCTATTTGTGACAGGGGGTACTGAGTTTCCCCTTTGCAATGTATTAGTGCTTATTTGATTATTCATGTCCATTAATATTTGTTTTATATAGTTGGGTACGCCAGTATTTGGTGCATATATACTTATAGTTATTATCTGTTCCTCTTGGAGTTTTTGCTTAATAAGGATGTAGTGACCTTGCTTGTCTCTCTTGATTGGCCTTGGCTTGAAATCCACGTTGTCTGCAAATAGAATAGCTACCCTTGCTGTTTTCTGAGTTTTCTCATATGGGGTATTGTTTTCCATTCTGTCACTTTCAGTCCATGAATTTCTTTTTGAGTTAAATGTGTTTTTTGTATGCTGCAAATTGTTGGATCTTGTTTCTTGATCCATTCTGCCAATCTGGTTTTTTTTGATTGGTGAGTTGAGACTATTTATATTGATGACTATAACTGATGTGTATTGACTTATCCTTGTCATATGATTTTCCTGTTGTTGCTTCCCTTTCTTTCTCTATATTTGCTTGCCTTGTCTGGTAGATTTATTCTACTGGTGTTCATGGAATGAAGTGCTGGTTTTGTGGTCGTGAATTTCTTTAGGTATTCTTTTCATGGAAGTATCTTATTTCTCCATCAATTTTAAAAGATAGTTTTGTGAGGTATATCAATCTGGGTTGGAATTTGTTTTCTTTCAGGACCTGAAATACTTCACTCCAAGCTCTTCTTGACTTGATGGTTTGTGTTGAGAAAGTTGCCATGATTCTGAAGGGCTTTCCTTTATAAGTGATCTGGTTTTTTCTAACAACTTTTAATATTCTGTTCTTTTGCTAAATTTCTGGGATCTTGATTACTGTATGTCTGGGTATAGATTTATTTTGTATATGGCTCATTGGAGTTCTCTATGGCTCACTTAATTGTATGTCTGATTCTTTTTCCATATAATCCTTGCTTCGTCTCACCACTTAGAGACTATTTTCCATCAGCCCTAAGAAGCATAACATCTGTGTTTAATTACATTTGGCCTACAAGACTGGCCACTTCAGTCATTTTAATTTTTCTCTGTTACGTTTGCTTTTTCTTATGAGGGGGCAGTAATTTTAAGCTGCCTGAGATGCATTAAGGCACAACAGTTTGTTCAACTTTGTTTTCATTACTAAAATGAAACTAAGATGAAACATTTTTCTGTCATGGAATTCATGGTAGACACACAAACTCTTCATAGTGTAATTGGATTCATGAAACCATGGCATAGGAGCAAGCAGCCTCCTTCCTGGTGTGTGGGTTCTTTTGTGCAGCATCTGTGTTTGTCACCACACACCTTGCACCTGGCCCACAACTAGTGTCCAGAAGATGTTGATGCAGTCAATGAGTGGACACATGACTTTTTGTTATGACCTCTATATTTATAAGAAATAATTTACTAGTTTTAACAACTGTTCTCTCAAATATAGGACACTCAAAATTTGTTAAGTTTCTAAGCTATTTGCATGGCTTATTTGAAAAAAAATAAGGGAGCTGTGTGTGGTGCCATGTACCTGTAATCCCAGGTCTTGGGAGGCTGAAGCAGGGGATCACTGCAAGTTGGAGGTCAGCCTAGGCTACAGAGTGAATCCCTGTCTAAAAAAGACAGAAAGAAAGACAGACAGACAGACAGAAAGAAAGAAAGAAAGAAAGAAGGAGAGAGAGAAGGAAAGAAAAAGAGAAAGAGAGAAAGAAAGAGAGAAAGAAAGGAAAAAGAAGTGAAGTGATTTTGTGGGGTTGCTTTGTTTTTTGAGACAGGCTCTTGCTACGTAGTCCAGGCTGGCCTTGAACTCGCTATGTACCCAAGAGTGGCCTCAAACGCGTGATGATCCTCCTGCCTCAGCTTCCCAAGTGCTGGGATACAGGCATGTGCCATCACATCCAGACATGAAATGATTTTGGAAGTATTAACTTGTTGATTGATCTAAGAAGTACAAGTAAAGTCAAAAGACAGAAGTCAGTCTTGAATTAACTATTTTAATGCTAAGAAATTGATTTGATCTTTTTTCCTGATTAAGTTCTTTTTAAGACTACATTATATCTACTCTTAACCTTGGACTCGAAATGATTTTTGGCCAAAAACAATGTAATGCTTGTATGTTAAACAACAGCAAATGATGATAATAATGACCATGACATAATTTCAGCTAATGAAGCACAAAAGATATGAATGAATAAAATATAGTACATATACAACCAAATCATAAATACCAGTCCTGAGGATACTACACTAAAGTGATGTTGGAGTGATTAGTGTTACCATAAATTTCCAGTAGTTGAAATCCCCTATGAAACACTTTATATAAATCTTAAAAATACATACTGTAGTGAAGAACATAGGCAATTATGGGGTTCTTTTTTTCATACTAGATTTAAGCCTGTTACCTTTGCACTGAGCCACATCCCCCACCTCTTTTTTTTATTTTTTGAGATAGGTCTCACAAAGTTGCTGAGTTTCTCAGGCTGGGTCCAAACTTGGAAGTCATCCTGCCTCAGCCCCCCAGAGTGCTGAGATTACAGATGTGTGCTGCTTTGCCCAGCTTTTGAAATTTTATAACAAATATTGCATCTATCTAATATGAGTGTACTTTCATTTTAATGCCTAATAGTATCTCAAGATAATAAACCTGAAAACACTTTTACACTTTTAAAATGTTTTTTATTTTGCTTTTTTAAAATGATGGTGAAAACTCACAATGAATGTAATAATTATGTACTGCATAGAGGTACTAATAAAGAAAACTTTATAAATAATTAATTTTTAAAATTGTGATAAAATATATGTAAAAAAATACAATGTGATAAATTATGATTTTTAAGTGTGATAATTTTTTTAACTAACAAAACACACATCACTTAGAATTTACCATTTTAACTCTTCAAATGTAGAGTACCACAGTCTTAAGTATGTGTGTATATATATATATATATATATACACATTGTTTTACAACTAACCTCTAGAACATATATACATTTTGTAAAGAAATCAATAAGTTTTTAAGGTGCCCTGTATTCAGTAATTTTATGTTGCACATCAAGATCTTTTCGTTCAAAACATCAACATATATATTACTAATAAATATTTTAGATTCTGAACAGTTACATTAATTTCAATCTCTCTCTTCCTCTCTCTCTGTCTCTCTTTCTCTCAATAGGAGTGAGCTGAGTCGACAGAAACTTCATACCCAAGAACTGCTTTCTCAGCTGGAAATAGCAAATGAAAAGGTAGCAGAGGTAAGATAATGATTCCCCGGGTACGTACTTCCTGCTGCAGCTTGACACACAGTTATGCTATTAACCCATTCCTCTTATTTTGTTTTCAATTCATAAGGAAAGACACATAGAAAATATTTTTGCTTACTGGAATATATTAAAATATATTTAGATTAATACCTTACAACTAGCTATAGCAAGTTTATCATTTTTTTTCTTGATGCCTTAAAAAATAATCTCTGGATTCTGTTTGGGCCTTCTGTAACTCGAACTCTTCATTTGATGTTCTAACTTCAAGTATTTATCAGTAGGCTATATGGTCCATTATACCTCTTTTCTCTTAAGCATAACATTATAAATTGGTCCACTTAGAAAACAATTAAGGAATAGCTGTTCAAATGATCTTATTTTATCTCCCACTTCCAGATACCTGCTCTAAGAAAAAAATGGAGATTTTCAATGTAGTAATATTGATAATATTGGAAGACCAAAAGAAACCAAAAGGATCAGTTGGGGAAAAAACTGCTGTATATATTATGATTTGCCCAGTCTGAACTGTCTCTGAACCATTATGATAACAGTACAGGAAAAAATATATACAGTCCAATTATAAAGATGAAAATGATCATTACATATGATGGGATTTCCCCACATTTTGTCCAGTGTATAATATACTTCTTAAAATTTAAGACTACTTATTTATTTTGTTTGTTTGTTTGTTTTTGTTTTTTTTGTTTTTTCTCCGGTACCGGGAACCGAACTCACGACCTTGCGCGTGCCAGGCAGGCGCTTTTGCCGCTGAGCTAAACCCCCAGCCCCTAAGACTACTTATTTAAACATATTGACAAATTGCTACAGTCAAAATAGTTCTCATAATAAGTTTAATTCTGCTTTTGGGCATGGTAAGATAAACTAAGGATATTATATTTCATTTTTTTTTATATTACCAGCCATGATGCTAATCACTTGTATATATTTGGCACTTTCTAGCCATTCCTTATTGAGCTTATATTATGCTTCCAATTCAGATAAATGCCAGAAAAACTGCATAACAGTTCTAGTTGTACAAAACTATATTTTTCAGATGCACTGTGGCCAGTCAGGTAAGTAGAGAGAATATCTTTTTTAAATTGATGGTTTGAACTTGTCTGCATGGTGATATGTAGTGACAATTTTGTATTCATGAAGTCTCTGCAGTTTCTGCCATAATAAAGTATTCCAAACTGGTTCCATAAACAACAGAAAATTACTGTCCTACAGTTCTGGCAGGTAGAAGTCCAAAATCAAAATGTCAGCAGTGTTGATTCTTTCTGAGGACTCTGAGCGAGAATTTGTTCCCTGCCTCTCTCCTGGGTTCTGCCTCAGGCATTCCTTGGCTTTAGGTGGTGTTGTGTGTCTTCCCATCATACATATCTATCTTTATGTCCAAATTTCCCATTTTAATGAATGGCTCTGATTAGTGGGTTTCATGAATGGATGTCATACGGATTATGGCTCACCATAATGGCCTTCTCTTAATTTAATCATCTGCAAAGACCCTCAAATAAGGTCATGTTCTGCCAGTCATGGTGACATACACCTGCAATTCCAGCACTAGAGGGGCTGAGACAAGAGGATCACCATGAGTTTGAGCCCAGCCTGAGCTACATAGGGGGTTCCAGGCCAGCCTGAACTACATACTGAGACCTTGTTTCCAAAAAAAGGTCACATTCATAGGTACTGCAGTTAGAATTTGGAGACACAATTCAACCCATAGCAATGCCTAATATTGCTGTTGATCGTAATCACCTCTGCAGTATGCAAATGTCAAGGGGAAACAAAGTTTATCCAACCTTACTACTGAAGCTATTGTAAGGCCCAATGATCTGTGTTTTTGCAGTTCTCACAGTGGGTGATTCTAAAGCAGTGACCTAGCATCTCAACATTAACAAATCAAAAATTCAAAGTCCTGTTCTTCTGATTCACTTTAATTTGGATTGGTTCACTCATCTTCTTCGTTTTGTTTGTGTTTGTTTTGTTTTGTGTTTTTTGCAGTACAAGGGATGGAACCTAGGGCCATGTACATTCTAGGGAAGCACTTTACCCCTGAGCCACACCCCCAGCTCGGTCACTTTTATTTGATAATATGGGGAGTGCAGAGGGCAATTTAGGAAAAATGTAAAACCAACTTCATACTTTGAACCTTACAACTTGGAAAATGTACATCTGAAAATATTATCTTTTAATTTTATAAGTAGTAGAATGATGTCTGTCTACATTTTTATCGATTATCCCACAGAACTTCTCCATTTCTCATATAGCTATCTGACTTGTTTCTGTTTCCCCTTAATAGAATGAAAAGTTAATTCTAGAGCATCAAGAAAAAGCCAACAGACTTCAGAGGCGTCTCAGTCAGGCAGAAGAGAGGGCTGCTTCAGCTTCCCAGCAGGTAGGGCGCATGCTCATTACCCTGAGAGAATAAAATAGCCTGAATGCATCAGAGATAAGCACAGTCCTCAGAAGTTCCCAGAGAACTAGTAGGTTTATTTTTGCTTGATTGCCCTATTTAAAATTAGTCCCTTTAATATTTGTGATTGAAAATCTTTAGGGACAAAAATTAACATTGATATCCTCCACTTGATGCTGACTGTTCAGACTACACCGCCCAGCACCATTGCCACTGACTGTAGATTACTGTTTACATTTAAGTGAAGGGGGCTGGGGATTTAGCTCAGCGGCAAAGCGCCTGCCTGGCAAGCGCAAGGTCGTGAGTTCGGTTCCCAGTACCGGAGAAAAAACAAACAAAAAAAAAAAAACAAAAAAATACATTTAAGTGAATTAAAATTAAATAAACAGTTCAGATCCCTGGGCACACTAGCCACATCTTAAGTGATCAATACCCACATGGGGTCATGGCAGGCGTATCAGACAGTGGAGACATACAGCGTTTCCTTTATTATCACAGAAAGTTCCGTTACACAGCAGAGCATGGGTTCTGTTTAAAACTAAGCAGATATTCACTGGCAAATTAGAAAGCACCTAACCTTACTTTGAATGTAATATTTAACCCTTTACTACCTTTGTTATTTTAGCTTTAAACAGAAAATGATCTCACTTAAGGATAACTGTATTTAATGCACACTTGTATGTGACCAAATGAATGTAAAAGACAACATAAAAGTTGTCCAGTGAGAAATAGAAATGTAGAATATCAATGAAATGCTGAGGAATAATTTCTCATAACTCACATCATATAAATGAAATGGCCATTTGTTCAAAAGTAGGAGCAAGAGTTCCTCCTATTAGGAAAAAATGAGACCAGGACAGTGGTTATAACTATAGGCTGGAAACAGACAGGAGAAATGGAGGGATGGGGGAGACTAGGGAAAAAAGAAAACTAAATTACCGCAGTATTAATTGACATTGGTTATAAATGTCGTGTGTCCGTGAAAGGAATCTTTTCCTCAGCTACTGTTGGTGCGGCCCAGCAGCGCTGAGTCTGTGCGACTTGGGCAATTCCAGCTTCTCTAAGCCCGCTTCCCCCTGTCTGACGTAGGTAACGCTTCCCTGCTATAGTCAGTGAAGGATAAAGAGAACTCGCACATGTATAGTGGTGTGCGAGTATAGCGGTATAGAGACATTTAGGTAAATGTCTTTAGTATAGCGGTAAAGAGACATTTAGGTGGATATACAAGAACTTAAATGTCTCTGCCAGGACCCTGACAATTCACATTTACTTTCTGACATGGTTTCACTGTGTCCTGGCTGCCCTGGAACTCTTGGGCTCAAGCAGTCCTCCTGCCTCAGCCTCCTATGTAGCTGGGAATTCAGGTGCACCTCACCTGCCCAAACTAATCCATTTATCTTTTTTAAGGAATATAGTAAAGAAAATGCCTACTTAAAACCAACTACCTGGAGTTCCATAGTAAAAAGGGTAAACTATAGTACCTTATTTATATAATCCAGTGACACCTAATTTAATTTCCCTCCTGACACGACTAAACCTAAGCCATCCCTCAGTGGTGATTTTCTGTTATTTAAACTCTCCAATGGAGAAGTTTCTGCCATTCTTTTTGAGATCCTGTTTTAAATGTTTTGTCAGTAACTACTTCACGGTTTTTTTCTGGAACACATTTTTCTACCATTGCTTCTCCATCCGTTGTGCTTCTGTCTGCAAATGGAAGGTAATCATTTAGCGTTTAGCATTCTCCTCATCCACAAACAGGAAATTTTTCTCAGAAGTGAATTTTTTTTTGTTTTAAATGACACCAAGTGGTAAGCTTTCTTTGTAAAATATATATGTGCGATTTTTCTCATCTTTATCCTTGCCTTTTCTTGGTCCTGATTTTCCCATTTTCTTCTAACAACTAGACATTGCTGTTAGAAATGATGTCCTGCTAAGTGCACGGCACTCCGTGGAACGCAAGGCATTAAAGGGGTGCGGTGGTCTCTGACGCGGCTCGGCCGCAGAGTGCTGCCCTCCTTGTGCCAATGCCTGAGCGCGCTGCCCCTCAGCCCTGCCTCTGCGTTCTTCGCACCCAGGGTGGCGCCCTGCACTGCCAAATTCCATACTGTGTTCTTTGGACAGCAGGACGGTTTCTAAAATTAGTACGGTGAAGCCTTTTATGTAAGAACACAAAACCTAGAGGCTATGAAAGAAGTAATAAATGTGACCGCATAAAATCTCACATTTCTACATCAAGAAAAGTCCTAGGGCTGAGATGTTTAGTGACAGCACACTTGCCAGGCATGTGCAAAGTCCTGATTTGATCCTCAGCACAAGGAAAGAAAAAGTCATAAAGCCAGTGACAAACAGGAAACTATTTCTAGCACATATGGCAAAAGACTAATATCTAAACACATGTAAAAATGCTGCAGTCTAACACATGAGTGGGTAAAGGAGGACTTCTACAGAAAAGGAAAGACAGATGGCTTAAAAACATATAAAGATGCTCACCCTTTTCCATAAGACAATATAAATTTCAATTTTAATCGCGTATCACTTTCACATATCACATCATGAGATTTGGTGGTGCCCGGGGCTGGCGCTGTCGGCCGCCGTCGATGTGTGTGTACGCTGGTGCAGTCTCTTTCCATACAGTTTGGCTGTATCACTCAGAACTGTTACGTGCGCAGAACCTTTGACCTATACTTGCACCTGCAAGCTTTACGAGGAATCCAGCATATAAAAATACTAAAGGCAGCATTGTCTCTGACTTTATAAGATTAAAAACCATGCAAATATGCAACAGTAGCAAACAAGTTAAATTATATGTCAATATAGGGGGTTAATTTGCAGATGTTAAAAAAAATAAAGTAGATCTAATATGGAATGATGGAATTATCTCTAACACACATATATGTGTGTATATTTTTTCTCATTTAGAATATTCTAGAAATTACTTAAAGTAGTGGTTGCATAAGGAGAGAAGACTATGGAATGAAGGAGCACCAAGGAAAGGAAATGCTCTTTATGCTGTGTATTCCTTTGTACTGTCAGATCCTTTTTAGCATGTATACATGCTACAATTATAATTAATGTTTAAAGGTTATTTTCCTGTTAGACTTTTCTTATTAAGATCTACCATCGCTTTAAAATTACTGGTCATGCATTGTGTTTGCTCACATTTAGTTTATGCCTTAGATGCTTTGCTAATTACCGTTTATCTAGATGTTTGTCATCCATCTGTGGAATGTGTTTGGAATTTCCGAGTATATCACTGGGAGCTATGGAATGTCATCTTTGACATGCATTTCTCTAATGTAATACAGACACTTTAACATCTCAAGATTATACTAGAAGTGAATCCAAAAAAAAAAAAGACCTTTTCTGAGACCCCCTTCCAAGATTATTTTCAACGAGGTTGTGATGCCCTGCACTTTGTGTTAATGTAAGAATTTCCACAGCAAAAGTAACTACTTACTGATTGTTTATTTCAATTGCAGCTCAGTGTGATTACAGTACAGAGAAGAAAAGCAGCCTCCATGATGAATCTGGAAAATATTTAGAAATATTCATAGTTCTCTCCCAGAACTGTAGCGCTGAGAAAGCTGTTGGACTAGACGTGTACTGACATGGTGACGCCTGCAGAGAATGGTTAAGGCTTGTGTCACTTTGCATAAGCATTTTCCATTCTGTTTTGAGGCTTATTGGATAACAGCACAGTGACAGCTTCCTGTAAGTAAAGAAAATATAATCCTATATTCGAGCTTCAGTGAAAAATAAAACCAGCTGAGAAGAACTCACTGCCTTCATCAATGTATCTATTTCTTAATTCCCCCTTTTCCATTGGATGAAAATAATTTTCAAACCATGCTAATCTTGAGAAAGAGGTCTTACAAAAAATCTAGAATTTAATATTTCAGATTTTAAGATTGGGGAGCTTTATGTCTAATTGTTACTTCTACCTCATTTTTAAAGTTCCTGAGGATTCGTTTTATTATGAACTCATAAATGTAATAAATTTTGCACTTTCCAAAATGATGCTGTCATGTATTTTCATATATAATTGTTATGCTTCACTTTTAACTTCCATGGTTTCCAGTATTTCTAAAACTTGGTATGTAAGAGTTTGTGGGGCTTTTTTTTAACTTACTACTTCAAACAGTACTAATCAAATGCAGAGCTTAGATTCTAAGAATGCCTAACTCTGAGCCGCTGTAACCATGTGGATCTCCAGAGATCCCCATAGTTATGTTCTGCTTCTGGTTTGTGCTTGAGCTCCCTTGGCTTCTGGTGATGAGGGCAGATCAGTTTATATCTGGGTAACCGGGTAGGAAACTGTTGAGCTGTCCAGGTAAAAGACAGTGAGTTTGAGTTGCAGGTGACATAAAAATACTCACGTATAGCTAGTCAGCCATCAGTCAGAGATCAGGAATATTGCTGACTAATGGGCACCATCATAGGAGTGTTGGGCATGGTGCGGAGAATCAAAGCCCTGGAAATGTAGGAGCTTGTCTTGGGCCTCACGTGATGGTACTAGGTACCCCTCCCGATTCTTCCCATAGCACTCCTCCCTCCATGTCTCGTGCTGTAGACCCAGTGGCCTTCCTTCACTTCCACAGTGCATCATCCTTCCTCAGCAACAGGTCTGCACATGCACTTTTCCATTCATATATTCTTCAGATCTTTATTCACACGCCACTTCCTCAAAGCAGCCGTAGGCTGCAAGCCAGGCAAAGTCACCTTGTGCTGTGCTCTTAATGCTGTACTCTGGTTCCCTTCATAGCACTGTGAAGATATATAGTTAGCTTGAAATTTTTTCCTACCCAATAGAACACATGCTCCCACATCCGTGGTCCAGTCCACCTCCCAAAAGCCACACCTATGAGCGCATGAGGTTTTGGGGGACAGCTAGATATAAGCCATAAGGTATTTCTGTCTCAGAAAAGTTTATTAGTTAATCATTTCTAATGTAAAAATGTAAGTTTTTAACAGGATCGTGTCTCCTCTCAGTCACCACTGTATGTGTCCTTAGTACCCAACATGTTTCCTGCAAATGGAGGCTATCCAGGAACTCTCTCTCCATAAACTGCGCTTTACGGGCAGGACCTCCCAGAATGACTTCATTTGTTAAACGAATTCAAGAAGACTCCTCTCTCCATTCTAATATTAATCACCTCCTTTCCAGTTGGCTCTCTTCTTCCCTTCTTAAGTATTCTCCCAGAGAAACATAAGCCCCAAAGTATGCAGCAAATACGCCTCTCCCATGACCTCTGTGAATTTGAACAGACTTAATCTATGTTAAGCAACAGAACTGAGTAGATGGTTATGGTCTTAGTTACTTTCTCACTGCTGGGACACAATACCCAACACCCATAAGTTAAAGGAGGAAAGGTTTATTTAGCTCACAGTTTGAGAGGTTTCAGTCCACACTGAGCTGGCTTTAAGGTGGGGCAGCATGGCAGAGGGACTTGGCAGGCAGGAAGCCCCAGTCCCTCAAGAGAGGAGGGGTGTATTTAAACTGTACCCTTCCGGGCCTCGCCCACAATAAGCCACCCGCTCCCCCAGGCTTCACCTGCCCACGTCACACCCAGCTATCAGCCCATCGGTGGACTAATCCAGTGTCACATCCATGACCCAGTGTCACACATCCGTGGTCCAGTCACCTCCCAAAAGCCACACCTCTGAGCACATGAGGCTTTGGGGGACAGCTAGATATAAGCCATAAGTTTTTCTGATCTCAGAAAAGTTTATTAGTTAATAATTTCTAATGTAAAAATGAAAGTTTTTAACATTTCACATCATTTTAACATGTCGCTCTTCATGTACCAAGGCAGTGTTATTTGATTTATCCATGTCTCTATTGTGTCTCCCTGAGAAAGAAAGCAGCTATGATGACCTCCTCTTCCTTTAGTATAGACAATGCAAATTGAGCCAGGCAGTAATCTTCTTATTTCTCCTCTGGTGTGAGAAGCGCAACTACCCCAAGTATGGGAGAACATTAGTGACGGTTCAGCCTTTATTCAACAGTACTGAATATTTCATAGCTGCACAGTCTTGCCTGAGCAACTCTCAGACAATCAGAGTAAAAAAACATTTTACTATAAACCCATTCTTTAACTATAATGTGTTTTATCATTTTCTCCCAAAATAATAAATCTATGATGAGCATTTTTGCAGAATGTTTCTCAAAAATAGTGAGTTTATTTACCTAAAAATGTCTATATACACATACGGATATGTAGACGAAGAGAAGGATGCTGACTGTAGTACCCTGAGGTTATGTATAAAATCTGTCCCTTCCCAGCCGCTTTATACTTTTAAAAATGTACGGCTTTTATGGTACTATTGATGCTTTTAGTATGTATATAAAGAAGAAACTGAATATGTAGTTTTTCACTGACAGAAGTTATACAGTGGAAAGGTTTCTTACAAGTAATTTTTTTACAACACTAGCAACTTCTGGCCCAGGAATTCACCACAAAACTTTCCTGCAGGCCCTGTGTCCCCACAGAGGGCCCTGATGTGTGCGCTGTGACCCCTCTTATCCCTTCTGCTCGGAAAGCACATTGGAATGTAAGCAAGTGAGAACATCTGAGATAACGTGAATCTGCTCTTATTTATTTTTAAATACATATTCCTAGAGTGAAGTATTTTGTTTTTAGTAACAGATTACTTTGGATATTGTGCCTAGCTGTTGAAATTCGCTGAGGGGCAGCTCACTTCCTCTTGAGATGGCCCGATTCTTTTTCTGACAGCTTTTTTTTTTTTTCTATTGGTACCTTGGTTCACAAACTTGACTTTTTTCCACGATTCTGGTGGCAGACCGAGTTGGGTGAGAACCAAATCGAATGCAGAGGTTAGCTTCAGGGTTGACCTTCTGGAGAAATATAATTTGGTTTTCACCCAGTTCGGTTTGCAGCGAGAATTAAGGAGAGAACTGAGATCGTGAGCCGAGCTACCACTGTATAGATTTACATTACGTAATAATTACGTTCATCTGGGGGAAGTGATGCGTCCACATAGCGCATCTCAATTGCTTTTCCCTGCCCTCCCCGTGCTCCCCTCTCACCCTCTCATAGATCCCCTTCCTGTCGCCACAAAGTGTACCTCTGTTTCCTATCATTTCCTTTTTTTACTTTGCTCTTTAAATAATTTCATTAACTAAGTACTTAAATATTTTACATTTCTCATACAAGAGAAATATGCAGTATTTAACTTTCTCTGATTTACTCCATGTAGCATTTTGGTCTCCAGATGAAGCTATTTTCCTACAAATGACAAATTTATCCTTCCTGTGGCTGTGTAGTACACGTGTGTGTGTATGTGTGTGTGTGACATTCTCTTTATGGATTCATTTTTTGATGGCCATATAGGCCATGTCCATAGTTTAACTACTAATCGTGCTGCTATAAGCAAGGGTCTTCATGTATCACTATAATAGTATGTCTTTAGCTCTTGCAGGAAGTTACCCAGAAGAGGCATAGGTGGGTCAAATGGAACTTGTACTTTTAGTTTTTTGAGGAATCTCTGTCCTGATTTCCGTAATTCCCAACAACTGTGGCGAGTAGAAAGTTCTTCCTTGTAGTGAGCTGTGCTGTGTCTCCCTGCCTTAGTTCTATAGTGTGCTACGAAATAAGTTTACAGCGTATTCCAGTGGCCATTTTCAGTCTTCTGAAAATAACGTGCCCCCTGTGCTTAGTACACATCTTCATTTTCGCAAAGGACTCAGTTTTAAGTCCTTCTGCTGACCGGTCACTGGTCTCAGTGAACTGTAAATTGCATATATCCACTTTGCTCAGTCAGTAAACACTGATTCCCTTGTAGATCCTGACAGAATGGGGAGAGGGGAAGTGATCCTTTCCTCAGTGTGGAGGGACAGCTTATGAGGCGCTGTAGGGTATGGATACGGCTTAGACTGTTCTCTTCCCCCGACCCTAAGGAGATCCTGACATTCTGTCTGAGGAAGCATGCTGAGCGTCACTCTGGTTAGTGATTCATAAAAATATACATATGTGGTATTTCTCATCAATGTTTGATATAAGACCTCACAAACATGTTCTAAATAAGAGAAAAACGTGAGAATTACTGTTCTGCAGTCTATACTTCCATTAATGTAACTTAAACATGTCATTTTTTTCTAAAGTAGAATCACTGACATATTGAGCATATCATCAACAAAAATCCTGTCTTTTTAAAGACTTTTTACTAAGCTAAATCTTTGCCCTAGGGCCAAGGATATAGCTCAATGGCATAAGCGCCTGCCTGGGAAACGCAAGGTCCTGAGTTTGATGTTCCGTACCAAAAAAAAAAAAAGCTTCATGCCCCAGAAGTAGCACTATTCACATATCTGAGGTCATTTGAGCTCCTAATTCTGTAATCTGGCTTATTAGTCCTGAGCATAAGGACTGTGTCTGTCTTACTTTGTTTACTGTATTTCTTGCACCCCAGACAATTTCTGATATACAGAGAATGCCATCTCCAGACGTGATAAGCATGCTACCCTTATTGTTAGACAAATCACTGGAAAGATGAGGAGTACTCTGAGTAGTTTCTTAAGTCATACCGCCCACCAAGTCCCTGGTTTAGTAACAAGTCAGCACCTGTCTGCTAGTGTCATTGAACCTGTTTTCAACTTGGCCTGTATCGTCATCTATTAGGTTAGGATTGTAACCTATCCTGAGAACATCAAGAAAGCCCTAAGACCCAGCCTTCTGCCTCATAACGTTTATTTACACCATACAACTCATATTCCCCAGCCCTAATCTAGTAATCCTGTCCAAGAGGTAAACTGCTAATAATTATTATTCCGTGTAACATCCTAGTAGTCACTGCGTCTACTTTATATCTTTATTAAAACTCTTAATTTGCTTGATATGGCATAATAGTAACTTTCATTTAATATTTTTTCAATGGCAGCACAGTCCCTTTTTCAAATAAGAAAAGCATCAGAGTATATTGTGATGGATGTATAAGGAAAAGCACAGTTACTTAGACTGTAAAGCTTAAAATTTTGAGACTAGTATCTCCTTTTATGAAAACTATTCCAGATAAAAGGGAATGAAAGTTATAATCATATTCCCCCAATGCCCAAAAGAACCCTTGCACATTCTCTTCCCGGATCTGTGATAAACCCACTGATCCATATTAATCATACATACTATTGAGAACATGTCAAGTGCTGGGCGTTTGCATTTCTCATCTGTAGAATCCAATACCTCTGCCTGGTAACTATGATCATTGCCTGTCCAAAGCTATAAAGAATGGTGAAAGTTAAATGATGCGCCCAGGGTCACATAGTTGGTAAGTGGCATAGGTGGGTTTGAAACCAGACCTACTCAACACCACAGTTCCCTTTCCTGTACAACAGTTCATCAGTCTGCAGAGCCCACACCTCGCCACTTCTCCCAGGTTCCCATTTGACTGGGTTCTCTGAGGAGCCCAGGATAGAAATTCATCGGGGTCAGAAGTCTGGAACTCACGTGAACAGCTAGACGCTGTCTGTCACACACTGGGTGACTTTTCCAGCACCTATTCTGTCCCTTTAAGTTCAAGGATCAATGTCCTTGATGGAAAATGCAAACAAGGATTTGGAAGAATTCTCCTTCCACTTTTTCACTCTCCAGCCTTATAACAAGTCTGAGTGTGAACCTCTTAAATCTTGTGTTCTGTTTTTTTGTTGTTTCTGGTTTGTGTCTTTGCTCATATGTTTGTTTTGACCCTAATCCAAACAGCCCTTTTGTTAACAAGTTACATACACACCTGAAAACATCCTAGAGAGAAAAACAATTCACAACTAATGGCGTTCGGTAATTTTTCAAACCAAAAAAAGGAAGTGCTCATAACCTAAATATAAGTAGTATAAAGTAGAAGTCTAATTAGAGGAAATTGTAATAGATTTTTCCTTTGAAAGTTTTCATATTTCCTTGATGAGTTTTACTAATATCAATCTAAATAAAAATCATTAATATATGTTAAATATATTTAGTAATTCTAAAGTGGCTAATGTATTATTTATTTTATCAAACAAAGCATAGTACTTTAAAGTATGATGTTGGAAAGGTATAGGGATTCATTGAACCAAAGATGGCAGAAGCATTTGATATAAAAATAAATAAATAAAAAGCTGCGACAACTGCCACTGGAGCGGGAGCAAAGCCAAATTGATGAAAAACAGAAGAAGTCTTGTTTTTCGGCTGCTACACAGAAGAGACAAACACTACAGGAAAACATCTGTATCATGAAGAAATGATTTTATGTTGGTAATAACCTTGAAATTAGAGCTAGCGGGGGCTGGGGATTTAGCTCAGCGGCAAAGCGCCTGCCTGGCAAGCGCAAGGTCGTGAGTTCGGTTCCCGGTACCGGAGAAAAACCAAAAAAAAAAAAAAAAACAGTCCATGGAAATTAGAGCTAGCAGCCAGATAAACGAGTAAAATAAAGCCACAACTATTACTAAATGTACTACTTAAATCTCAGCCATATGCAAGGCAAACAATATCAGGGCACGCTGATGACATTAAGAGTGACAGTACGCTCTTTTTTTATTTCTGCTACTTAATTTGACATTATTTAGTTGTAAAAATAACTGGATTGATTACACTTTGTGCTTGACTTGGAGGTTCTGCACAGTTTCATTTTAAAATGTGAAAATGTTAGTCCTAATTAGAACTCTGCTTTTAAATAATTCTTTGTAACTTTCTAAGCACTGTGTCTAAATATAGGGAGAATTAAATGATTGAGTTCCTGATAGTATTATTTTCTGTAATACTATAGGCATATATTTTACCTGTAAATATGTGTATGTACATTGCATAAATGTACGTCACTAAATTACCTCATCCTCCCGAGAATAAGGCCAGACCATACTGCTCACTATGTTATAGTCATGGTCTCCAGTACATTAACGACATGCTCTAAGCTGAAGTTGTTAGCGTCACTGGGTAGAATTCATCAAATGAACACTGCTCTCTGCGGATTATTTTACATTCTGAGAGGCAGCAAGGTCTGGGGGCTCAATCTCAGACACCGGCTGAGACGGACCCCAACTCTGCCACTTAACCAACCAGGAGCAGGTCATTTAACTCCTCTGTGCCTCAGTTTCCTGCAAGTTGGAGAGAACAGTGCCACCTTCATGTGTTAGAAGACTCAACAGATTAACATACCTAAAATCAGACCGCCTGTCTTTTTACCAGTGTCAGAAGGTCCCCCTAAAAGCTATCTAGAACGACAAAGGTCAGTTTTTGTTGCAGAAGTTACCGCTGTGGAGGGAGTACTGGCAAAGCTGCAGCTAGAGGAGGGACTCACTTCGGCACAGCTTGAGTCAGGGAAGCCAGGTGAGAGGCAAGAAGTGAGGTGCGAGCTGAGTGCAGCGGCAAGTGCTGGCGGACTGAGTGAAGCAGGAAAGCCTGTACGGGGCATTAGAACACATAGACTCGATCACCATGTCTACGAAGGACTCCCAGGCCTCGGGCTGGGATGACATTCTCTAAATAAGAAAAACGAGTCCCTAAATCTCAGGCATCTCTAATTTGAAGAGAAATGCCCAAAAGCAGGGGAAGGGCTGGAGCACAGATACCAAACTCGGCAGCGTGGAGAACAGCTGAAGGCATGGGAGATGGACAGCATAAGTATTAGACTTGCTTTTATCCGCCTTCTCCATGACCGGACCAGCAAAGCACTTCCACTTGAACTAGCACCTCCTCTAATGCAGCTCTGAGCTGTAAAGGGAAATCATACTGTAGATGTTGACCTTGAAGTTAATGGCAAAGTTTGTTGCAGACGGCTAATGTTTCCAAGGTAGAAACCGCTTTCTAATTGATTTGGGTGAGAGCACAAGGATGAGTCCCTGGGCCACACTTCACATCACAGATTGCAGAGCTGCCGATGACAGGCCCTTCATTTGGCTCCTGGGGACTTAATTTCCCTGGGGAACTATTATGGTTATTCAACTTGAAGACCTTGTAGGGAGAAACATTTCTCTCAGGTCTGACTCAGAGCAAGCAACAAAGAAGTAGTCACTAAGGAGAGAGGAGAAATAAGGTTTTAGCAACCTATGTACAATTGATGGCTTTTTTTTAAAAAAAGCTGGCCATATTTTTGTACAAATTATAAATTAGACTGGAACAATAGTGTTCCCCTGTCGTGTCACCTAATCATAATCTACAGAATATGTAAGCCACACCAGTTTTGCTGTCCCAACATAAAGACAGAAGGGAACATTTCACTACATGCTGATTGCTACATGTAGTGCTTATGTAAAAGACTCTTTCCAGCAAGGAAAACTAAAAACTAGAAGTTAGAATTAGGCTTCATTCTGCCACGGCCAAACGCCATACTCTTGGACAAGTCTTTTTTGAGGAATACAGATAAGGTCTCTTCTTTGCCCTTGTACTCTAATGTTCTTGGGATCGAAAGAAAACATTGAATGGACTCTGAAATTTTTCTTGGGATGAGGAGGTTGAGATGGTATTGTTTTGTAGCTCAGCCTGGCCTGTAGCTCCCAATCCTCCTGCCTCAGCCTCAGAAATTATTTTTAAAACATTTTGTAAATACAGCCTTCACATCATTCAAGATTAACAATTTTTGCCACAGAAGGTCATTAGCTAACACTGTGTAAAAGTCAGTACCTTCTTCCTAATGACGAAAATGATAGTCTACATACTGCCTGCTGCATCCTCTGAAACACTCCAGCAACTTTCTTTAAATACCGCAGCAACCTGAATAACACCAAGATATTACCCTTTTGTACAGCTGGAAAAACTGAGGCTCATAAGGTTAACTAACTTAGCTGTGGTCACGTGACTGGTAAACTAGTTGAACCTTTAAATATAGACAGGTCTTTTTGACCCTTGAGCCTGTGTTGCCTCAAGAACTAGGTGTTTTCGGATCCGAACTTGTATTCTAGAAATGATTCCAGATGAGGAAGACCGAAATCCAACCCATCCGTGGTGAAATCTATCACCAGAGCCAGCCCAGTAAGCCTGCACTCCTCCATAAGCTTAGCAGGTTCCCCCATATACTAACATGTGAAATAGTAGACACACACCTTTAAATATTTAGCAAAAGCACATTTCAAAGGACACTTTAAAATGTATTGCAAAATGTACAGCATTTATTCACATACAGACAAAAAGGCACAAATTCTACTAAATAGTTCCAACAAAAAAATACAGCTGTCCTCAACTAGTTTTATAAATACTTTCAAAAAGGGGGTAGAAATAAATACAGGATTGGGCCATGTAATATAAAATAGTCATCTCTACATATATTTTGTTTAATTTCTGATTTTTAACTCTTCATGCACCTTTTTTTTTTTTTTCAATTTTAGCTGAATGGACACCAAGCTAGGCACATAGTGAAAATCCTCTGTACAAGGTTACAAATGTAATGACGTTTGTCCATTTCAAAATAATTGATTTGTACACAACACATAAAACCCTTCGTTTAGATTTTGTGTTTATAACCTAACAAATGACATTCCAGGCAACTTTACAAAAGTTTTAACTAGCCTACATTTTGACATAATACACTGATCATAATCAAAGATATTTCTTGGTCAGGATGCACAAGGAAAGATTAAAAAAAAAGAAAAGAAAAACAAAAGCAAATGGTTCCACACTAATAGAATGCAAGTGGGTAGGTCGGGCTGGTTGCTGCTTATGGCCACCTCATACAGAGTTCCCAGCATGACATGAAACTAACTTACAAAGCTATCATTATACTGTCAGAGAAACCGTGCTCTATACCATTTGCATTTTGAAGCAGGAATAAAAACTGTGGGCTTTTATTTTTTTGTGTTTTGTTTTTTTTAATGGGGTTTTTTATTTTTATTTTTTTTGTTGTGTTTTGTTTTATTTTTTGGTTCAGCATAACTTGGAACATTTGAAAGCTTTTCAACCTAAATGTGGGGAAAAAATAGGTAAGGCATTATTTTTGCACAAAACTAGCATTCCTCATAGTGCAAATGAATCTGATACCTCTTAAAATGGTGAGAGGTCATATACTTACTAGATTAATTTAGATTTTCTGTCTATGGCTTCACAAATTATCCTTCTATAAATTCTACTCTTGCCCAAAGCTGTTGCTGTAATCAAAAGATAACTGTAGAGTCCAACCTTCTCCTGTATCCAGCAAAAGGTTTTTGCTCGTATGCAAAAGCATCTAAATTATTCTATGAGTGAACGTACAACCTGGATTCCTAAGAACCTTCTAATATCTGTAGCAACAAGCTGATCTGGACCGCAGTCTTTCAAAGTGAGCCCCATAGCTCAAAAATAGTCAATCTAAAAACCTGGGTCATTCTTTCCCCTCCCCTGAATTAGCTACTAAATGTACTCGAAAAGTTAAGACTTGGTTTGAAAATGTCATACATACAATGGGGATGCATCAGATCTACTACTTGATCATCAGATAAAACTTGCATAGCAAGATGGAATTCAATAAGCCTTTTCTTTCGTTGACAATCATCTGGAAGACTTGGAAGTTAACTACAGAACTCAAAGCAGTATTCATTAAGTATCAGAATGTCCCTGCCACATGGAAACAGATGTACAAATAACTCAGAAATCTGAATACTGATAGTAACAAACCAAAGCGTAATTTAGGGGAAGTTGGGCTTCTTCCAAATGCCCACAATTCTACATCTCATTGCTATTTAAACCTTCCTTCTCTTAAGATTGATTCACAACTACATTGAATTCCAAAGAAAATTAACAGGACCTTAACACTATCCACTGTCTTAACACATGTGCACTACAGAGAGTGCAAGAACAGAACATTGTACTCAAATTTAATGCTAAATTTATTATTGCTGATAACTTACTAGTTATTGCCGTTTGCAATCAGAAAATCCAAGTTACAAATTAAGAGTTTAAAACTCTGACTCCAGCAAACCTACTCAAGGGTACACTTCAGTCTCTTTCCTGTATTGGTCAATGGTAAGAACTTATCGCAACTTATTGCCTTTCTACTGTTTTAAAATATAAACCTATTTCACTTTTTTCTTTTTTTTTTTTTTTTCTTTTTTTCCTTTTTTCTTAAGGAATCCGTTTATGATAGAAACCCGGATTCACCAGCACACGCGCTAGTGCCTGGCTCTGGGAAATATGCATCAGAGTCTGGAGTTCATCGCTTGAACCTGAATAGCCATTGTACTGTCAGAAGCCAGACGGCCAGGTATTAGCAATGGCTAGGGAAACCCCAAGCTGGCCCAAGAACCAGTGGTTAGGGAAGAAGGTCAATGGCACTGGAAAAATTGGACCCTAACTGCCTATCCTCAGGGAGAAAACTTTCCAAACGCCTTCACCTTTGCCGGTCCTACACCCACAACCCACTTGCAGGCTTCTGCCAGCAGGACCTTCATCACCAAGCTGCAGCAGCTCTTCCTCGTCCTTTCAGCTCTTCCAGTAATGACCTTTTTAAAAATTCTCTCTTCCCTGACTGCTATATTTACACATGAATTCCCTAGTGTTTCTGAAGCTTCAGAGCTGCTGCCTGTATACTATGAATGCAACAAAAACAGCCTTGTGGGCCAAAACAATTTCAAGATCTATCACAGTCCTAGCAAACAAGCTTTACGGGCTATAAATGGTACATGAGGGTATAAGTGGCACTGATGCACTATACAGAATTATGTCTGATTGTGTACGTCCAGGTAACCAAGAGTTTGTGCTTTGGGAAGAAAGCAGAGGGCAATTAAAATTCATTAGGCTGATTTGAGCCTTGCCCTCTTAAAAACCTAATTCGTTCTTGTTTTAGTGTTTAGTTCAGGTTCTGCTCTTAGGAGTGTCTCATAGTTACCATCTATTCTTCTGTTGCCTCAGTGAGTTGCAAATAACACAAACTTCTCATAACAACGATTTATAAAGGACCCTGGGAAAAATTCAATTTGAGTGACAAGTAAATGTGTTCGTGTATCTTGGGAATAATGTGTTTCTCTCGTCCCCCGTTATCAGCGCTCGCCCCCAGCACACCCAGCAAGCCCACGTGCGCCCTGCGCCACCTCTGCGTCATCAAGAGGCCAAGATGCTCCTCCTGATGATGTCTGTCCTCCTGCTGATGGTGCTGCTGGCGTGCATACATTTCTTTTCCGATGCCTCGCTCTCCGAGTCACTCATTTCTGCATCGGGGACATACCCATCGTTCTCATGGTCGGATTTTAATTTGCTTTTTGCCCTTTCCTTGGCTGGAACTCGGCCTAAGCCCAAGTACGGGTAGTCTGAGTGCTGGTGGCAGGCCCCCTCGTGGGCCTCTCCCTGCTGCTGCCGCTCCCCCTTCTTTGGAATCCGGAATCCTCCCCAGTTTTTCACCGGGCTGGCAGGTGTGGTAGGCACTTTGACTGCAGTCTGATTATAGTTCGCTTTGATTAGGGAGCCATTGCACTTGGGCACGATCTCCTTCCTGGCGCCGGGTGCTGACTGCCCTGCTCCGGGAGAGGTGGCAGCTCTTGCGTTGTCCAGATGCCTCTGAGACATGTCTGTGGACCTGAGAGGCTTGTGACTCTGTTTAAAAGGCTTATCCTTTAAGTCTCCTTTCATGAGATCACAATGAAAACGATTGTCTCTTCTTTTCCCATGGTCTGGCATCACCACACCATTCTTCTGTTGCGCTGACATGAAACGTGCTTCTGCGAAAGTCTTCTCAAAACTCAGAAAGCTCTCTGGGACCACCAGCCCCTCCCTGCCGCCACACGCGTCTGGCTGCTTCAGCAGGGCCTTGCCCTCGCTCCCAGTGCTACTCTGCAGTAGGTCACGCTTATGAGGCTTTTTCAGCGAATGAACCAAGGAAGTACCCATCTGTTTCCTGAAGAATGCAGAATGCCACTTCAAGTCCTCTATCTTGGGAGCATCGGGGCCCACCGAAGGGCTGTTAAACAAAAGCATGTTTTCCAGTGAAGGGGAAGAGCAGGAAGAAGGCACACCTATGCGGATAAAACCACAAAAAAAAAGATTACAGGAGCAAGTCCAAAGGAAGAAAATTCCTGACCCTTAGCACTGCCCAGTCTGCAAACTTCCCACCAACGGTAGAGCATATAGCTGCCCAGTTTGTCAAAATTTGATTTTTACAGTAAAGATACCGCCTGCTTTGAGAATCTGTACTCACGCAAGATATTTTTTTCCTTCAACAGCTAAGTTCACGTTAATTTTTCATGAAACAGTAGCAAGGACTATATTTTCCTTCAGACAAAATAGCTAATCTGATTTCCAAAATAACAGATTTGATTTTCATTGAAACAGGATTCGTCAGCTCATCCGTGCTTGCCTCCACTCCCCTACCTGGGGCTGCACCGTGTGCATACGGCTGCCCTGTGAGACCGGCCGCCAAAGGGCAAGGGCTGGGATGTCTATGGGTCTTCCTCCAAAGTATCTAAGCCCTCCGAGGAGGGCTTTGAGGATAAACACATGTAAATATGTGAAATGAATAAGGAAAAAAATTTTAAATGGCTCTTGACACATAGTCAAGTGTTCAAAAAATTATTCAATATCATTATATGAAAAATCCCTTTGTTGGATTCAAATGAATTGTCATCTAATTTAAGTATAGATTAAATGTCTCTTTTGTTGCAAATCACAGTAAGAAAAAAAAAAAAACAATCCCCAGTGTAACTAGTAAAAGCTCTTATTTCCTTAAATTAGAGGTGTGACTGACAAATACAGTGAATGTTTCAATTTTTTAAATGTATTACCGTAAGACACACTGCCATTAATCCCCTCAAAATAATATTCCTCCTCCCCTCCAATACATTTATCCCATCATTCTTGCCACTTTCTGGAGCAGTTCTGGAAGTCCTTTCACGAGAATCTTTAGCCACACTGTTGTGACCACCTGGATGTCCTGCATGGATCCGTTTACCTTTCCCAGTCAGTTTGACTTTGGGGAAGGGCCAGAATGGCACGGCACCAGACCCAGTGAAAAAGGTGGGTGAGGGCACACTGAGGTTTTTATGAGCCCGCCTTTCCACTGGACGGCACTGGGCAGCAGTACTCCCTGTATTGCTCATCATACCTCATCAAGACATCCACAAGAGGACCTGAGCACTGCTTCAAAAAGTGGTAAGAACAACGGGATAAGCTGAAAAGCAGGGGGAGTATTCTGAGGAGGATTCATGCCAATGTGTATTTTACCACGTCCTTCACTTAAACATTCACCGTCTAAGTTGTCATCCCCACCTTGTAAATTAAGCCTCGTCACCTGACCTGCACTCCCACACTTCTTATCCTCCACACTTGTTCTGGACGTTAGTCAGGACCCCCGAGTCCCTCTCACTACCCACTACTAAATGCGATCGCTGGTTTGAGAAACATGAGGTGAACTGACAACATACTAGAGCTGATCAGAAGGACATTTCTGGAGAAGCCTCAGGAACATCCAAAGAGCAACTGTCATGCACGCTGTCTCCCACAAGAGCTCAGCCACCAGGGAAACAAGGCCCCACACCTGAGCGGGAGCGTCGTGGACAGTGCCAGCGCGCGGCCATCAGTAGCAATGCTAAGCCCAGAACTGTGGGCAGGGGGGCCCTTTTGTACAATCTGCTCGCTTGGAAACGCCTGTTTTCTCAGTCATTAGAATCAACCTTCATGCCACATTTAATATATTTCTTTCATTGAATCACATACTACCAAAAAATGGAAAGGTACAGGCACCAATCTTGCCTAACCTTATTTCTAATCTGCTTGACGTGGAATCCATGTCTCTGAAGAGCCTCGGACTCCAGACGCCCCCGGGCACTGTTGCCCCTGCGGACCTTCCCCCTCCGCACAATCACCTAGCCACGCTCAGCATCACACCAGGCTTTGAACCATGGAAAGCACAGGTAGTCATGGTCATCTGCTCCACTCCCTGGCAGTCATCTATCTCACACGTCGGGAGACTAACTTCAGATGCAAGTAAGAACATAAGCAAAACTTTTAACTGGAGAATAGCCATCTTACAGGGTTTCGAGTGCGTGCGCGTCCCACAACTGAATGATGGAGTTTTCAAACACTCATATTAACTAGGCTCTTATAAAAGGATTATTTGTTTGCCTTTTCGAGAACAGCAATAGGACCTCGGATCTAGATTACAGTCCGGGACTCAAAATACTTCCTTAACTTTCTCAGGAATCTCACTCACTCACCCAGGTACAAACCTCGGCCATAGCACAAAAGCTGCCTGTAGGACCCAGGCAAAATGAGTGAGGGTGGGTGGAAATGCTCTTTACAGCCTGTATGGATAGGTCATTACTCATTGTGGAGCAAGAGTCACAGGCAGTCTCCCACCAGCATCGCTCCACGCGCACAGCTCACACTTGTGACCCCAGGCGGCTCAGCTCCAGCAGTATGAACAGAGGCAGTGGACTTCGGAGGCCAAATCGGAACTGAACTGCTTTTACCTACGATGCCGTACTTGGAAAAATTTATCTTAAAAGTTTCACGAATGAACTCCAAGCTCCAGCTAATGATATACACTTCATACATCTAATAAATATTTAATCTTAGGGATAAAATATCTAAAGTAGTATCAGCAAGTTAATGTCACTAAACTGTGCAACATTTCAAAAATATTATAAACTCCCTTCCCACTTTGTTTGTTCAGCTGACCAAGTCACTTCTAGTCACATACACAGTTATAAAACAGAATTGTTAAGAGGTTCTAACCACTTCTTTGTTGTCATTATGTACCCTAAGAATCTAGATAGAGACAAAAAGCCACAAATGCAGAAGAATGAAAGTGACTAAACTATGACTCGGTGCAGTACAAGCACTAGGAATGCACTGCTGTAACCCTGAAGGGCGGGCTGAGGCGGAGACGGCTCATGATGCGCCCCGGAGGGCCAGCCTGCCACCGACCTGGTCCGTGACTCCTCGGTGCAGCACTCTCTGAGAGGCTCACAGGAACTCTTCCTGAGACTCAGTGCTGAAAAGCAGCTTAGAGGTCAACTCTACACCAACAGGCTTTTACAGAACAAAGGAGTCCCAGTGAGGTTAAACAACTTGCCCAGCTTTGCATCTGATTCCAAGTAACTGATGTGTTCTCCAGAGGACAGAAAGAAATATCCTAGTTCTTTTGCTAAAACTCTGCCCAACCCAGAGCGATATAAAAGAAAGGCGTGAGTCTTGGTACTGTATATCAGGAACAGTCAAAATTCCATCTACACACATAACAAAATTCACTGTGAGTATTATTGAAGAAATGGAACGCATGTTGTCAAGCTTAACAGGTATTTTCATTAGTTAGAAGAAGATCCAAAAGATTGATATGCTACAGATAAATGTGTGTTGGTATCTCCATGATAAATTTACCAGGAGCTTTAGAGCTGGAGATTGTAGCTCAGTGGTAAAATGCCTGCCTCATACGCATGAGGCCCCAAGTTTGATCCACAGGACCACAAAATAAATACATAAAGAACTGATGCTCTTGTGTGTTAAAAAAAGTATATATATATATATAGTATATATTGTTTAAAAATCTGTATAAGTTACTATTTCACTTGAGTCTTATGACAGTTCAAAGAAGTAGCTTGACATATTATCCCCATTTTAGATATAAAGAAATTGGGAGGGAAAAGTAAGATTTCTTGTGTTTGGCCAGCAAATGCAGAATATAGGACTCAACTCCTATTTGAGGCCAAATTCATAGCTCTTCTCACTATACCAATAATGCTTCTTCTAATGCCTAAAGATTTTCTTTAAATATGAAAACCTGTGCTTCCTAAGTTTTCTATGGGGTAGACAGAAGAAAACCAAAGAACAAATTATTTTCTCCTAATGGTAGTGTAGAGGCTTACAAACCTCTGCCCTACATTTTGACCTACCAGGGCTTAATCCATACCTGAAACTCTTTCTTGCTCCAAGAGCTTAGTGTAAAGATTGAATATCTGTTCCTGGACTTTGCACACAGATCGTTTAATCTTTTCCCTGCGGGTCACCATGTAAGTGAGGTTCCGAACCTAGAATGTAGAGAATAAAGATTCTAAGTAAGCAATTCATGGCAAGAGTACTTTGGTGCTTTTAATTTTCTCTACCTGAGAGACATTGGTCTTAATAGGCCCTTGACGAACATTGAAAATCAAAACGTACTTTAAGTATTTTTACCCAATCTCTAATCTCCTTTTAGACAGACAAAGATTCCATTTAGTCCCCTCGATGTAGGCAGCAGCCACAGGAGAGAAGTTACAGGAGGAGGGGGACAGCAGCACCGAGCCCTGCACTTCCTCCATGCCCAGCCTCTTGCGCAGAGGCCTCTGGGTCCCCTGCACACCTAAGACCTTTGCTTACCGTCCGCCCCCATCCTCTTCTTGGTCTACCAATGGCTCTACAGCACTGCAAATCTCCCTCTGCCACCCAGAATCAAGTATGTCTCAATGGCTGGATGAGCACAGGGTCAAGTGTGGGACCAAAGGGTCACCAAGGACCCAAGACAGCTCCTTGTTAACTGGATACTCTGAAGTGCCCGGAGCAGAGGGACAGGCCTGTGCGCTCCAAGAGAACTTCCTTCCCACTTCACCGGGGATCTGCCGCTGGCCGGCATCTCCAGCTCAGTAGATCTGCCCTCATCTCCTGATTCATTTCTAACCAGAAAGATCCAGTGCCAAAAGCTCCCCCTGCATCTGATAGACCACTATGGATCATGTACACGTTCAGCAAGTCTTCACAACTGACCCTCCAGTCATCAGCATCCCCTGCTGTAAAAGCACCTGTCAGCACAGAACCAAAACCTAAACAGTTCATCACTAAATAAACCCCAGTGATGCTTCAGTCCTAAAGGAAGTCTACTGGTAAACCCATTCGGCTGCACGTTACACACAACACACCACTCACACAGGTACTTTTCTTCAGGAAGATAAGGATCACCTCAGGTGATCTCAGTGGCAGCAATAAGTGGAGTGTGACCTCATCCACTCCTAAAACACAAGTCTTCCTTATGACAACCTCCCTCCCTGACCTTACTCTATGTGGAAGAAGTTCAAAGATCACAGATTTTTCTTTTACCGTGAGGACAGCAACAAGCCACACCCGCACGCTATTTTGCTTTCTGGCCTCAGTACAGACACCTCCTCTCACACCTTTCGGGTCTTTAGGCTGTTCTCCACCCTCACAATGCCAGCGGTGCTGAGGCAGTGTCACTTGTGAGAGGACGCGAGACATTAAGAGAAACAGCACGGGCTGGCTGGCCGTTCTCCTTGCTTCATGGTGTAATCTCCTTGCCCAAATCAGGCAATGCCAAGTGCAGCTCTTACTGACCCTTGAAGATTCACTATCAGGGTCTTCTTGCGTTTGTTTCTATCAATACTTTATATATATGTATGTATGAAGTGTATTTTCTAATTAAAGTGAAAAGAAAATCCTCTCCCTGAGTGAATGCCATGTCCGTGTAGTTCCCCTGGTTAAGGTAACTTGTGCAGCAGGTATTCTCTTTAGAAATCCTGATCCATGTGGGGACGGTGTGGCTATCACACTCTCAGACTTGGTAATTAGTGTCCCACCTAGGGGAGAGCAGAGTGGAAACTCAGAAACAAGGGGCCAGACCTAGATCCTTAAAAAACAAAAAACTCAGAGCAGCTTTTACACTAAGAAAGAGAAAAAAAGGGAAAAAATAGAAACAGCTTTTGTAAATAAGGAGGGGGTGAGCGTCGGAGGGGAAGAAAAAAGCAGCATCACTATGTATGTGTGTAGGTGCACACTCCCTACAATAAATGTTATCACTGCACATATCTAGAATGTACCAGTAAAGTAAAATTTTTTTAAAAAAAACTAAGGAGAAATCTGACTTTTGGAAATAGGAACTGGAAACAAATTCTCTTGACATTCTAGGAGTGGAGAGGTTGCTCTCATATTCAGCTCAGACGGATAGAAGATATTTGTTACCTCTTAATTGAAGTTATTCATTAAAATAGAAAATAGGGAATCCAATGAACCTGAACTTTGTATATTCAAATTTAATTTTGCTGGCTGCAGTATTTCACCGAGGCAAGGCTTCCCCATGGCTTTTAAGTGGGTAAAAAAAAAAAATCCTACTTCTATTCCCCATGACCTCTGATGAGAAATAACTAAAACCCAAAAAGCAAAGACCACGCTTTCCCACTGGAACAAACCAGCCAGACGGATCCAGTTCTGACTGGTCACTTGGCAGAGCAGTGAGCACCCAAGCTGGCCTCCCCAACCACGCACAAAGCAGTCTCTGCGGCTCTGCTCTAGGGCTAGACTATCGTCTACCCACCCTCCGAGCAGATCCTTGTTCCTGCCCGCACCCTAACCACCAAACTTCCCACTTTATTTTCCTCCAGCCGCCTGCAAGGTAGAACCAGAAACCCAGCCCACAGTGTGTCCCCTCCTAGAGTTCCCTAAAGCAGGGATTCTCAAACAGAAATAGGTGGGGGCCTCAGGACGTGGAACACTGACCCCATCCCTGATCCCGCCGGGCTGCATTTCTATGAAATTTCCAGGTGATGTTGCTGCTTTAGGGATGACACCTTGAGAACCAGTGCCCTAAGGAACAGATCCAAGAACAGTTCCAATGGGTTTTCTGGAGTCCTCAACACTGCAACACTATAGCTTAAGTAGCTTAATGAGCCTTCTGTTCCGGGGACAACTATAGCCTCAGCCGGACTTTGAAAGGTGACTGCGTCCCCTTTTCCACCCGTCAGTGTGCAGGGGGAACATGCTTTTATCAGCACTAGTGCTCATTTCCAAACATGTTTATTGCACCTTTTTAAAAAAGAAATCTAGGGAAAACCCATCAAAGAAGTGGTGTGCCACACCTGGAACTGTGTCCTCCCAAAGGTGTGGGTTCCCAAGTCCTCCTGAAACTCATTCCTGTCATCTCTCTGATCCAGAGCTGGTACCCGGGTATACAATGCCCTAAGGTGTGTATTTGTGGGAAAGAGCAATCCTATAATCATTCAGAGTTGTCTGCATTTCTCAGGAATGCTACTCATTGGTCAGCTCCGGAACAACCATATGCTGGGATTCTAGCCACGTCTATTACCTGACTTGAGTGTCTGCCATGAACTGACACTGTGTGATTTAAGCAGAACACGAACACACTGATAAGGTAACCTTCACCCTCACCGTCACCCCTGCTTTGATGAGCCTTTGGTCTGGGTCACTCAGTGTCTATAATTACAAAGAACTACACAATTCTCTGGGGCATGGGGAAAATTTCAACTTTTTAAAGCTTCTACCATCACAGGCCTTGTTCCAAATTTTGGGGGAAATACACTGTTCATTATAATCAGTCCATTTTAAACTGATCCTAAATTCCCTAAAATCTCGTAGATGTTTTAACAAAGTAAATGTACTTGAGTAAAATGCCACACATGCATACGCACACAAATCCTGATTTATTCCCTGTTTCTCATACATCACAGGCATTGTTCTACTTAAAAAGCAACAGTGACGACTTCAAAATATGTTCAGATTTAATTATAAACGCATGTTAATCTGAGTAACTTTTAAGTACAAAAAAGAGTTAGTACACCACAAGAATTTTCTACACTTTTATTTTGTGGTGATTGTGAGACAAACACAGTCCAAACATGAGACTTCTCATCCTCCCCTCCCAAGCACTATCTGACTCCATGCTTCCCCAGTTACAGCAGTTGTCAGGCTGGGACGGTCGCTTCTCACCAGGATTCCAGTTTATCCTTCTGAATCCCTTTCTCATCACTTAAAACCCCACGTGCATGTGGGTGAGGCGAGATCTTCTTTACACTCACCACCAGGGGGCGTGCGGGAGCACAACCGCTTCCAGACCTGCTCCCACTCCCGCCTCCCCTCAAACCTGAACCTGCCACCCTGCCCAGAATCTTCACCTGGTCAAGGAAGCGGCATCACAATGAGCTGGCAGTAGTTTGTGTGCTAGAAGGGCTTCTAATGAGCATCTAAAAATACTTCCACTTCTACGCCATTTGAGCAGGGCCATGCAGGTCTCTGAGATCTGGATCTTTCTTCTGCAGTCTACTCTGCCTACACACGCATTTCAAATCATCTGTGAGTCAGATTCTCTCCTAGGCAGGTGAATCACTCCCCACTAATAAGCGAGGCGCTTGGGGGAGCTGCATTAACTGTTTCAGGCCACCTGGGTGCATTTCTGTGCTGGCTGCTTCAGGCCAGAAAACCTCAGTCCCATCTCTTTCACACTAATGAATTTAATCAGTAGCTAGCAGTCAGGGGAGCTGGTGAGGAAGGCGCTCTAAGACACATCCCCAATTAGCAAGCCTCAGTCAGAAACTACCCCTCCGGGGACGGGGACCCTGGGGAAGACAGCCCACTGCTAATTATCCCTGCCTCAGAAAGGGAGGTCCAGACTGGGACTCCAAAGGTAAAAGAGAGGGGAGGCACAGAGCAGCGAAGGACAGTCAGCAGCTGAGGCTCCAGGCAGCCAGCAGCCGCTGTATTCAGCGATCTAGCAGTGTGAAAATATACGGATCTGTAGTGTGCTGAACAGTACTGGGGGCTCCTCAGACAGAGCTGATGCCCCGGTGCACCAGGAATCCCACCCAACACCCACACAGACACACCACGGACAGGCGCGCGCGCACAAGCACACACGTGCACAAACACACACACACACAGCCTCAGGGATAACTTAGCACCTCACTGCCAGGAGTGTCTTCATACGGGATGTGCAGGTGTGAGTCCACCGCCCCCAGCAGCACCCACAGCCTGCTCTGCTCTGCTCTGCTCCCAGACAGCGCTGAGGGCCGGAAATTAGCCAGCGGGCAGCAGTGCTTAGCTCTCCTTAGTGAGCCCTTCAACAGCACCTCGTGTTCCCGCAGCTAAACAAGGGGTTTCCCTACCTCTGCCCCTCACCCATAAGTTAAATCCCCACTCTGGTTTTCAAACTTAGTCTGTAAACAATTCTGCGTCAACCGCTTGGTCATTTTCCTGGGGCTCAGATCCCTCCAATTCTAGAATGAAGGGAGACAAGAAGACACACCCCATCTGATGTTGCAGAAGAGTAAAGATATGGGAAAGTGTTTAAAGAAAAAAATCACAAAGAAGCCCCCCGCTCTGCGGTCTTGCACGTGTGCACATGAGTGTACCACCCAGTAACCAACACGACCTCATGCTGCGGTGCGGTGTGTACAGGGTCTGCGAGTAATGACTGGCTAGCGTTTCTTGCTCTGGGCAAGCGTTCGCCTCTTTGCATCTTCTTCTCTAAGTCACTATAAGGTGTCAGTGTCAATCATTACCCTCTCCAGGTCCTGCCGCAGGTGCGTGAACAGCTGCAGCCTCCTAAACAAGACATCCTGCTCCCGCTTGGCTAGATTGTCCTCTTCGTCTTTCTTTGGGGTGATCAGGGGCTTGTTGAAGTTGACCTTCCTCTTCAACTTCCAGTACTGGTACAGGAAATCCACTACTTCCTCAGGCAGCCGCAGGGCCCTGGCCACATCCAGCAGGTTGACGAAGGTGTAGAACTCATCCTCCAGCTGCTGCAGCTTCTGCTTGCGGACACTCACCCGGTGGGCCTCCTCCCGGTTCTGCTCGAGGCTGGCGAAGGGCTCCAGCGGGTCCCTGGGGGAACATGCCGGGGCTCCGTTCTCCTGCATGGCCCCCTGGCCAAGGCTCTCCTCAGGTTTCCTATGTGAGCTGTGCTTGGGGCAGTAGGACTTGAACTTGACTTCATCATTCTCGGCCAAGATGGTCTTCATTTCTAGGCCCCGGTCAAAAGCACAAGTCACATGGAAGGCTGTGCGGCAGTTCTTCACAGAGCACTAGGAAGCAAGCAGAGGAGAACAGAGGCCGTTATGGAACAGAAGCCTTTCCGTGCCAGGCCCCCCACACAGGCACAGTCTAGAGCCACACCGGAAGCGTGTCCCAAGACGACAACACTTGATGAGGGCTCACCCCGACAGAATCAAGAGAGGGAAGGCGGATTTGGAGGAACTCTTCAAACGAAAGCGCTCACAAAGCAGACCATCACTCTCAGAAGAGCACGCACACCCAAATCCCTCTCATGTCAGGCACGTTTACACAAAGGGCACTTGTAGATGAGGGGGCGAGACCCTCAAAAGAGCGCACTGGAAAGAACACACGCTCGATACACAGGGGATACTTGGAGGCATTATTTTGGATTTTCTCGTGGATTTGTGCTCTTTTACTGTTTATTCGAAAAGTCGAACAAGAATCTCCTCAGGACAGAGGAGTGCTGGTCAGTTTTTAAAGGAAATGTGGTGATTCACTCTGAACCCGCGCCAGGAAGGGTCCCAACACAAGTGGGAAAACCAGTGGTACACCTCCTTAGAGCAGAAGAAGGTGAAAGGAACAGGAGACTAGGCGAAGCCAGCCCAATGGGGAATCCCCACCAGGGAAGCTCTGCTGGACACAGAGGCCCTTGAGGGCCAGAGAGGCCCGAAGCACTGAGAGCCACACCTCGCAGCTGAAGGGTGGCGGCAGAGGCCTCAGAGACCACTTCCTGTGGGCCAAGGGAGGTCAGCGACAGCACTGCCCGAGCAGAGCTGCAATTTAGTGCCTTTGATCCAGAGACAAGCCCCTGGCCTAGCAGGAGCAAAGCAATTAACTTCTCCCTGTCTGATCTTGAGGAGCAAATCCCTGGGAGGAGGCTCCTCTTGGGGGCTGAAGCCAGACCCCTAAAAGCATCCCTGTACTGTGTGAGGCCAGATGATCCCCGGGGCACTCCAGGGCTGCAGAGAGTACCAGAACCCACTGGCTCGCAGCCAACTGCAAAGCTCTATTAAACTCACTCAAAAGACCCCGAATCACAGAGCCACGGATGGCAGGGGCAGGAGCGGGGCTTTTCCCCTCATCATTTCCTGTGGAAGAGGTGACTCAATGCCCAAAGTGACTCTGTATTAAAACTCCCGCCGCCTTCATTTCCCCATTGCAGCTACCTCGAGAACATGAACAAATCTATAAGCTTATCTAGAAATAACATCAATTCCAAAAAATGTGTGAACGCAGCTTTGGTGGCAGAACACACACATACACACCTGGCCACTATCGTTAAAAGACGAAGTAGTCCTCCCTCCCTCCTCCCTCCCTCGTATGCTCGGCCAAGGAGGAAGCAGAAGTGGGAACAGATGACTGAGACACTATCTGTGTTTGGCTTAGACTACACTTAACCCAAGCACTGTACCCTTAAAGAGAAAGGGCTGCAGCGGAATATTTATGCAGGACTTTGTGACGACGCCAAATGGCCTTCCTTTGGGTTTTCCTATTCAGGTTGACTCAGCAAACAGATGTTACAGAAACATAAACCAGAGCCCTCACAGCTGCAGACATTTCAGAGAAATTCTTTTAATAAAATCAATCCATTCTGTGCAGATATGAAAAATCATCAGCCTTCCTTGGCCTCCTCTCCTTCAAATTAATGTTCTGGGAAAAAGAGGTCAGTGGCAACAAAAAAGTCATTATATCAGCTCTCCTCAAAGCAGAAACAAAGCTCCCATTTGCCCACCTCTTTTAAACATCAGTTAAGGAGCAGGGTTGGTGTGTTCAGGGAAGGGCATAGATTCTACGCTCCAAAGAACACTGGCTAACGTGGAAGAAAACGATACCCATTCTCCTTGGTCCACCACAGCTTGTTTTGCACAAGTGAACACTTGTGTGCACACCCACATACGCACATGCACGCACACCACTCCAGTGCCTTTCTGTACTCCATTTGCCTTGACTAACCCAACTCTCAGGCCAGAGGTGTTTTCTGTTTTAAACAGACCCTATTTACACACAGTAAATGCTTGCTACTTCAAGGTTCCCAGCCAGATCCCACCAGCTGCCTCACGCCCCACCCTCCGAATATTTCTGTTACGTTTTAGATTCTCAAACACCAGTAGAAACAATAACAAAAGTAGAACAACTTGGCTTGTAAAAAAGAAAAAAAGAAGCAGAAATTTAACCAGGCACATTAGTGCACACCTGCAATCACAGCACTCTGAGAAGCTGAGAGACAGGATGGGCATAAGTTCAAGCCAAGGCTGGGCAACTCAGCAAGACCCTTTCTCCAAAAAAAAAGTTTTGTGTGGTGATGGGGCTTGAACCCAGGGCCTTGTGCGTGCAAGGCAAGAATTCTACCACTGAGCTACATCCCCAGCCCCCTATTTTTAAAAGTGCTGGAAATGTAGCTGAGAGTTACCATTTCCCCACAAAAAATTAACTAAATGTATTAGATAGATAGATACCACCAATCAAGGGCTTTGATACCTTACTATAATACTTATTCCAAAATATAAAGTGAATATAATGTACTAATATAGTCTCAAGTTTTTGCTATGCCAAAACAGTTGCTGTCTTACATCGACAGGGACCCTGACCCAAACAGTATCTCTTCTCCTATTCAACAAAGACACGGAGGCAGACAGGGTCTGAGGCCCGTGCGAGTCCATCCCAGAGGAAGAGCCAGGCTTGACCTTTAGGGCCAACACCACCACACCCACTTCAGGCCCCTCAAACATAACAATCTAGACAGCAATAATGTGAGGCTCAGAAATTAACGTCTCAGGCAGAGTTTTAGACAACACATACACACACAAAAAGCTGCCAGCAAGGATCTCCACAGTCTCCTTACACACCTCGTGACTTCGTATACTCCTCTGGATCTGGGCACGCAAACATAGGCAGGTGCACTGTGTGCGTGTTGCGTGCATGGGCGTGGGTGCATGTGCGCTGCCTGCCTTCTCCACGCACAAGCACACAGACACGCGCTCACAGGACCAGAAACAATGCACTATCTAGACTGTACTCAGATAGTAACAAATTATGCAAAGAACATCTGGGGCAGCACCTCTACCGGCTGCACCCCAAGGGCTCTCCCAGTGTGAAAGCCTGAGCATGCGCAGTACTGGGGACAGCTGCAGTCTCTGGAGGCAGCTCCAGAGGCAGGGCTGGGCGGTAGCTGCACACTGTGCATGCAGGTGGGAGGGTGGCCAACTCACGCACCAACTCAGGTCAAGGAGTCTGGGTTCTATAACAGTGCATACAATCTGCCTAGTGAAAATGGTCCGCAGCTAGGCTGGACTCATCCCTCAGAAACCTCTGAAGGGCTGTCACCACCTCACCTGCTTCCTCTGAGAGCTGCAGACCCTCCCTCATCCTAAGCCCTACAACCCAGGAAAGCAAAATGAAGCCACGCCTGCTCGGGTAATTACCTGGATGGAGGCCCCGAACTTCTCATTGCAGAGGCTACACACTAGAGCCCACCGGCTGCTGGGGATGTGAGATACCTTTGTGATGGGCTCCATCTTCTCTGGGCTGCCGATGCTCACCTAGAGGTCAAAAACAGCAAGACGTGTGGCACAGGCCAGCAGAGGCTGAACACGGACGTCAGACTCAGATCGGCTGCTGCCCACAGCTCGTCTGAGCAGCGGCAGGCAGTAGGGTGCAGAGCCCAGCCCCGTGTGACACACACATCCCTGTGTATAAAACACTCGGATAACCGAGTTTTCATTTCTCACTTACAAGTGTGGTGGCAGAGATGCATAATGCATTCTACAACACCTCTGATTCATGTGGAATTTGTCAAGAACAAGAGTCCGTCTTAAACAGTTAAATACGCTGTTATAAGAATGTACACATAGGGTGTTTTTAGTCTCTTCTCACTGAAGAAAACCATTCTCTTCAGTCAGAACACATGACTACATTCAAGCTGGAAACCTATCAAGGTAAGTAAGGCATCCTGTGTCTACGTTCGGCCTAGGTCACTGAACTGTAGCCTGTTAATACCAAACCACAAGATCAGGTTTTACCAAGACTCTAATCATAAAACCTCAATGCAAATCACCCTTAGATAATTTTCCTCAAGAGGAAAAATGCACCAAATCATATACCCAAAAAATGTTGGAATTTGAATCACAAATTGTATTTCTCATAGTGAGCCATGCAAATTAAATTAGTCAAGGTCTGGGACTTGAAATAAATTAGACCAGACCTGAAATTAAAAAGGTTGAGGCTCAGTAAGAATTTAAATAAAAATCGCAGAAGTGTGACCTGGAGCGCTGGCGCTCACAGCACAGTGGTGCTGCAGACATGGTTTGCTAAGTGCAAGGGTTCACGGGACGGCACAGCCACGCAGGCCACAGCCGTATGGGCTCCAGGTCTGCCCGAGGCAGGGTGATCAACGCAAGGGTCTGCAGTAACAATGTGCAGACACCACCCCTGGTCCAACACACTGCTTCATCCAGATGACTTTCCCACTGCTGTGCATCCCGTGGCAACCGGCAGCAGACTGGAGAGTCAGCTTAAGGGGGCACATCGGGTAGCAGCTAAAGTTGTCTTCTTACCCATCAGCTGAACACTGACTACTTAAGAACGGTTCCCCACTCACCTACCCAGCGCCCACGGCCTTCGGAGCTGAAGTGCTACCAAAACCACACTTACCTCAGGGATCCACAGGGCACAGCTGACGTGGACCCACTTGGTACCGCTGCGGGTGGGCTTCATAGCTCCACCCTTCTTGGGGCACAGCAAGCACTTTGGCTGAACCCCCAGAGCACATGTCCGGCACAGCCAACTGCCCTCTGGCACCTTGAGGATTCCATAGCAGGCCTGCAATGTCACAGCACATCCCCAAGGGAGAGGAAGAAAGAAAAAACAGGGTTTCCCACTTTATCTCCTAATTTCCAAACCCCTTAGAAAGATTCCCACAGACCCACAAAGACCCCCATCCACCAAGCTGTGCCTCTCTCCCCTTGGAAAAACACCAGGCAACCTCACAGAAGCACCCAGGAGGTATCTGGGCTTGGAAACACAAGCCACATTTAGTCAGCAGAGGGTGGTCCTGTGAACTACCTGAGGACAGGAAGGTTTTTGTTTGCTTGTTTGTTTTGTTGTCTTTTTGAGACAGGGTATCACTATGCACTTCAGGCTGCCTTAAACTCCCTTTGTAGCCCAGGCTGGCCTCAAACTCACAGCGATCCTCCTGCCTCAGCCTCCCGAGTCCTGGGATTATAGGCATGCACCTGATCTCAGAAGCTAAGCAGGTTCAGGCACGGTTAGTACTTGGAAGGGAGCACAGGAAATTTTAAAACAACTTGTTTTGCTGCAGGAAATCTGTCTACGCCAGGTATCTGCACACTGAGCAACAGCCTCAAACATACTGAGGTCCAGTGAAGCAGGCTGCTCCTTTGTGCTCTCCTGAGGGCAGAGGGCGACGGAGGGAGGGCAGACAACGCAGTGGGGCCCCCTCATTGTCGGGGCTGCGCCCCCTCTACCAACTAGACCCCAACACGGTCCCACGTGAGCACACAGACAAAGAAAGCGAGACATCCCAGACAAAGGAAGAATTTGGTCTCTAGCTGATATTTAAAACAAAGCCTGTTTTGCACAAGATGGCAAAATTACACAAGACAGCATAAACCGCAAAAATCAAGGCTTTTACAACTAAAGTAATTAAGACGACTTAAAGAGAGAAAAGGCAAATGTTAAATAAGCAGAGTGAAGAAACAAAACCACAATGGTACCAGAAGCACACTCAGAGCCTCTAAAACCAAACTGCTCAGAACTTTATCCTTAAGTGAACTGAAGTCAGGAAGCCCAGAGTCCCGGTGACATAGCTCTAATTCTTCAGACAGAAAAAACACAGCCGCCCTGCACTGAATGCCCAGGACACAAAGAGGAAACCACAAGGATGAGAGCTGAGCGAAGTAAAGGAACCCTGGGATCGGAGGCCGAGGAGCATGTGGCAGCCCATGAACAAGCCACTGTCAACAGACTTAAAGGGAAAACATTTAATGCTGCTAAATGACACTATTAAGGTTTCAAATACTAAAGGTCTGCATCAGGTATTCTAGAGAGTCGCCTTGAAAGAGGGAATTTCTTCCACTGGGAAAGCTGGGTTAAGCTAATGAAGTATACCATAAAGGATTTTGCAGAAGAAAAGAATCAAGGAAAAAAGACAATGTGACACAGCAGTAAGAAGAGAAGACTGGAGCGGAGAGGGGGTCTCCCCAGCCCGAGTGCCAGGGCCACTCCCCATCAATGCACTGTGAGGCTCTGGACAGCCCCACCCCAGCGCTGGTTAACTCACTTCTAAAGCAGAGTTCAGCTCTTCTGTAACAAGTAAAATGACAGGGAAAAGAATGAAAAGTCATCCAAGGAAATGAGAAACACCCGCAACAAAAAGCAACAATAGCAGTCTCACCACCCATGATCACAACACAACCAAACCACAAGAATTCTCCACTGCCCCAAGAAACTCCCTGGCTGGTTTGAGAATCCAGAGCTACAAAAATGAGCTTTAGTGTGACTCAAGCAAGAGATTATGGTCTCAAGTCTCCCTGTCACTATGAGCTGGGACAAGGCCACCCCTGGTGAAACCTTTGAACACAGGCAAACTACAAAAAGGTGACAATCAAGAAATTCCCTGAACAAACTTGAGTCTTCTGCCTGAGATCAGCCACACAACTACTCTATTCTGTTTTGTAAATGTGTTTTAAGGGCCAGGGTGGTAGCTCAACGGCACAGCGCCTGCCCAGCAAGTGAGGTCATGAATTCAATTCCCGGTACCACACACACAAAAAAAAGTGTTTTAAATCTCAGCACCATCAGGTAAATTCAAACCAAGTATCCCAGGATTGCCTTTTAAATCAGGAAAGCCTAGGTGGACACACAGCCTACACAAATCTATTACTTCATTGCTGCATTAGTAAATAAGCAAGAGACGAGGCACTGAGCCATCAGGAGCTTTTCAAATCACCCAGCGCCTGCCCTCACCAAGTCCTGCGGACTCCTTGGGAGGGGCAGCTTCCCCCTCCGTCAACACCTCCGTTTACAAACTTTCGCTAGCAATGTTACAGATTAAACTGTGACCCCAAAAGATATGCTGAAGTCCCAAACCCACCATCTCCGAAGGTGACCTTACTGAGAGACAGCCAGCGCCGATGCGATTAGTTAAGATGATCACACTACCCACACGACGGTCCTTCTACAGACAGACACCTGGGGCGAACACCATGCACAGGGAGGACAGCTGCAAGCCAGGAACACCAGAGACGGACCAAAGCCATCACAACCCACAGCTGGGGAGAACCACCCTCTGTGCTTCACACGGAGCCCGACCTTGATTTTCAGATTTTTAGCCTCCAGAACCACGAGGCAATGAACTTACACTGTTTTAAGGCACCCAGTTCGTGGCACTGTAGAACTAATACAGCAAACTAAACACCCTGTCAAGGGGTTTGTCAGCATTTTTAATTGGCCCCAGGGGCTCCAGGTAAAGGCAGCAAGACATACACCTGACTTGGTATGGACTTACAGGTGAGAAGGGTGTCTACAGGGTCATACTTCCTCCAACCGTGCGAGGCTGTGGGGAAAAGGGCCCGGGTGTGAAGCCGCCAGGGCTCAGGCAGCACATGCCTGCCGGCGGATGGGCCGTCTCAGCAGCTGCTTCCTCGCACTTGCTCCCCGCCTACCTGGTGCACGCAGATGTTGCACTTGTCACAGAACACCATCTCGTTGCCGTCCTCACCGTCGGGGGACTGGCAGACATCACAGACCACATCCTCGTCGTACTCGATCCCCAGGCCCTCCTCCGTCTCTATGGCATGGTTCATGTTATCATAGCATCGCTGCTCAAACTCCTCCAGGACTCTTTCCATGGTGTACTCATCTAGCTCAGGCATCCCTGGAGGACACAGCACAGAATCCACTTTAACAAATCAGCATTGAGGAATATTATAGTGAAACAATATCAGTTTACCTAAGTTGTAAAGAATTTACAAAAAAATAATCACTTTACCTTTGAGTACCCTGAATTTTCTGTTAAAAGCCTCTCGAAACCCTTCCCCAGAAAGACTCTCATGCAAGTCTGTCCCTTATGGTCAGGCACTGACGATGTAATAAATACAAAAATAAAAAATAAATCTCGCCTATAATCCCAGCACTCAGGAGGCTGAAGCAGAAAGATTGCCACAATTCGAGGCCAGCCTGGGCTACATAGCAAGTTCAAGGCCAGCCTGAACTACATAGCAAGACCCTGTCTCAAAAAAACAAGTACATAAATAAATTCAACGCTATTAAATACACACACTGTTAAGTCATTCCATGTTAGTACACATAACGATTAACATGTACGTACAGCCAGGGATAGAGCTCAGTGGCACAGCGCCTGCCTGGCAAGCACAAGGTCCTGAGTTTGATTTCTGGTACCAAAAAAAACCATGTACATGACTTTCAAAACCATCACCAAGTATATTATAGTTTGGGGTTTTTTGGTTTTGTTTTTTAGTTTCCTCTCGTAGTGCTTAACGTAGTGCTGTAAAAAGAGATTTCACTGTGAGCACCTGCATGTCTTTAACTGGCTTATTCTTCCTCGGTCTCTAAATCCCACAAAGTGGACATGCACAGTTAACCAGACACACAAAAGACCAACACAGGAAACGTCTGCGGCAAAGGAGACAGCTCACTGTGAATCAAACAAAATACATGCTTCTGAAGAGAATTCAGAAATTAAAAATTTAAAGTAATGTGATGCATTTACAGGCGAATGGGCTATTATGAGGCAGGGCCTAGTCGGAGGAAGTAGATGACGAGGAATGTTATCTTTGAAGGAGCATTCTTCTCAGGGCTCTTTCCCTCTCACTGGGCTTCCTGACTGCCTGAGAGGAACAGCTCTCTCCCACCACACCCTTCCACCATGCTGTATTTGCCTTGGAGCCGACCACAGACTGAAATGGCGAACCAAACAAATCTTTCTTACTTGAATTGTATGTGTTAGGTATCTTACTGCAGCAGCAGAAAGGTGACTGATACAGTGATTACCACAGTATTGCCTCATGGTGGAATAAGATTTATTTTCCTCTATTTGTGGATGTTTTCCAAACTTCCTAACAGTAAAAATACTTGTGCAGACAAGAAAACAACAGGTTTTTAAAAATACTCAAGATACCTATTTAAGTTGGAAAAAAATGGAAAGTTCATTACAGCCTACAACTTATATGCACTTTCATTAAAAAGCTATCAAATTAGCTTCCCATGTTTTTAAAAATTTAGAAGACACACTGAAAAGACACCAATAAGCCACAGACACATTCAAAATGCCACCTAATTATGAAACGTCTTCTCCACAGCTGGCACTTTTCATCAATTCTTCCTACCAATTTTAGAAATACCACTGACTTTGAAAATACTATACACTACACTTAACTTTTATAATTAAAAAGACCAACAGCAACCAAGTCAAACATCTTTAAGCGTGTTTAATTTATCTTATACAAATATATAACCTGTCAAAATATTCAATAGTACCTCTAAATCTGATTAATTAACTGGGGTGTGGGAAAAGGGAAGGGAAAGAAGGGGAAATTATGTATGTATGTATATACAGGATAGCTAACATAGTTGTACTACTGTCTTCTGCTGCGCTACAGAAAGGAACAGTTAATGATTACTTGTTTGATCAATATTGCATGTCTCTATTTGTTTTCCTGAGAAACCACTTTAAAGATATCAATACGTAATACAAGAACTATTAAGGGCTGGGGATTTAGCTCAGCGGCACAGTGCCTGCCTGGCAAGCGCAAGGTTGTGAGTTCAATTCCCGGTATCGGGGGGGAAAAAAAAAAAATCTATTGTTAATTTCATACAATTTTGTCTGTAACTCTGTATTGTTTGTATTGTTCTTATGCTACTTTGTAAAGGGATATCTGTTTATTCATGTTTTCCTTCTTTTATTTTTAAAATAAATAAGTAAATAAATAAATCTGATTAATTAGCCTAGTTATTATTTAAAGCATTCACAAAAGCCCAAGAGTCACTGAGCTGAGTCCTCTGACTTAGCATAGAACACCTAAAGTCAGTCAAGTGCATTATTCTAGTTTTAGGTTTTTGTTTTTGTGGTCCTGGGGATTGAACCTAGGGAGTTTTACCTCCAGCCCCTCTTCTACTTTGTTTGTTTACTTGTTTGTTTATTTGTTTGATTTTAGACACATTCTCACTATGCAGTTCAGGCTGGCCTTGAACTCACTATGTAGTCTAGGCTGGCCTCAACTGGCAGCAATCTTACTGCCTCAGCCTCCCAAGTGCTGGGATTACAGGAGTATGAGTTGCCCAGTCTAGCCTTGAATTTACCATCTTACTGTGCCAGCCTAAGCATCTGGGATTACAGGCATGCACCACCTCACCAACTCACTCAATTTACTAATCTTCATAAAGCTATAAACAAGGCAAAACTGTGTCAGCTATGAAACTACAATATAGTAGTACTCGGGTCCAAGAGCTCTCTAAAAACTTCTGATGAACGTATAAAACAGGCCTCTCTCTGGCCTGCCAGTGTTCTGGCCACTGACACCTTGAGCAAGGCCCTGACCAGGAGAAGGAAAAACTCAAAAGTCTTTTACCCTTCAGTGCTCTGAAGCCCACCACCACCAAACACCATGACCATCGAGCGCGAGATGGCACATGAGCGGCGCACGCCGCCACCCCCACCCTGCAGCGGGGCACACTGTGCAGCCACAGACACCCTTCCCATCCACAGCTGACCTTACCGCCGTGTTCGGCAAACCCTCAACCCTCAAGAATGCCCGGGCGAGGATAAACACATCAGAGGCACAAGCACTCGGGTCTGGAGCAGGACTTAGGAAAACGGCTGCCGTGCAAACACAGTGGGCGTGGCTGGAGTGGGTTCATTTGAAGAAATAAAGAGGCTACCACTGAGGAGGGAACCTCAATGGCATCACAGAAAAAACGTGAGAGAGGCCTGGATGCTTAATTTCTGTGAGCAGCATTCAGTTCCCTTAACTGAGAAGTGGGGGACAAGAAACCTAGGTGCCGCAGCCACAGGAACGCTGCCCCCAGGCCCACAGCACCACCTCCTGTCGGCCCCCTTCTGCGCTGTGAGCCACACTGGACTCTGGATCTGCCTGTCCTCCTGCCACAGCCACATGCACCGAGCCTGGAAGAGCCCGTGACTGAGACAACCGAAGCGGAGCTGAGCAGCGTGACCACGAGCAGAGCTCGGACCAGGCAGGCCGGACCCTCCTCAGCGTGAGGCAATGAAATGATGAACACGCATGCCCTCACCCATCTCCTTAAACTCTTCGTTGGTCAGTTCCAGCCACGCAGCGTCCATGTCATTGAGGTCATATCGACACACGCTGTCAGCCAGTGTCCGGATATCCACATAGCCCAACTCTGGAGGCTCGGAGCCCGAAGAGACGATGTATTTCTTGGGCCTGATGAACATGAGGGACTTCTCTTCAGACACAACCCTGGTTAACAAGAAAACAAAGCGGCCCGATCACCCCTTCTACCTCATTCAGTGAAGTGTCAGAGAGTCCTGGGTATAGCATCTTCCTTCACCCTCCAAAGCCCAGGTCATCCCCAGGTTCATACAAAGCACAGGCTTAAAACCCAAGAGTATGCCAAGTGTGGTGGCACACACCTGCAATACCAGCACTTGGGAGGCTGAGGCAGGAAGATGCCAAGTTCAAGCACAGCCTGGGCTACTTACAGACTTATAGACCCTTTCTCAAAGTTTGTGGAGGGGAGGGAAAAAAAGCAAAAAACGAAGCAATGCAGTTCCTTCTGAATGTCCTGGGTTCCAGAATCAGGCACAAGGGGTGGGGAGGGTCATTAAAATGAGGCTGGTTCAAGGGAACATTTGAGAAGACAAGAACAGCCAGTCGAGCTAGCATGCACGGCACACGCCAGCAGCCAAGAAGAGACACGTGTAAGCTCTCGTTTTACAAAATACTTTGAGAGAAAAAAGTAGGCACTGGCCATCCTGACTAAGAAACTGAGGAACCGAGAGTCCTGGCCAAGCAGGGGACTCTCCCCACACGAATATGTGTCTTGCTCTCCTACAGCCACGCCCCCCGCCCACCCCGGTACCCCTGGAGAAGTGCTTCCTCCCCAGCCCGTTCAGAGCAAGAGCAAGCCAGCCCCAGACGTGAGCCCATCGGAGGCCCAGGCCCTCAGTGCTGCTTCACGTCTATGCCTTGGCAGTTTGCGTGGGATCGACAGGTTGCCCAGAGAGTTTGTAGAAGCATTTTTAGTACCCTTATCATTAAAGGGAGTGATTTTATCTGTGACACTGAGATAGGAAACTGAGGGATTTGTTTCTCCTACTGCACCAAAGGCGAGGTTTCCAGTGCAGACCTGCACAAGCACTGTCAGTGCTCACTTCCTTCATCCTAGGCTCCCGCTGAAAGTGAAGCACTCAGCAGGCACCTCTGCAGTCGAGGCCGGGTGAGCACTCCGCCAGTGACCAGGCTAGAACCTGGCCAAGGGAGCCTTGGGGGCTCCCGACGGGTCACCTAAGCCCCACAAAGACCTGCACATGTGTCACCTGGAAGAGACTCCTCACAGATCCCCAAATGACAACAATCAAACTGATCAAGTGCCTGAAGACACACAGTGGCCGGGGGCCAGGAGGGAAAGTTCAGTGCCCTCTCAGCAGTGGTAAAAACAGGCCATTTTATAAAGCTGCCCAATGCCGCAGCAGAGAAACCCGCTGCTGGCCAAATGCAGAGGGCAACGAACCCTTTCCTAAAAGGTCACAGGGAGCTGAGCGACGAGGCAATGAGCAAATGGAGGCGTCAGGGAGGGCCTGCCCTAAGAGAGGTGAGGGACTGGTCAGTAGATCCAGGAGATGTGGCACAGGAACATCGGGGAACAATCCGTCTGTCAAGTACATTCCTACTCTAAGACCCTGGCCTGGCAGGTCCCCCACACCTGTCCTCCTGCACAGGAGAATCAAGCACTTGCCCCAGAAGCACCACTGCTAGTACCCAGCACAGGCACATGCACACGCGCGCGCACACACACACACATATATACGCTGTGGAGGGCGGGGGGAAAGGAAGCAGCCACAGGGGCATACAAATTCTCTCCAATAGGCAGCCATTCCCCCGACAGTGCTGGGCACCTGCCCTCCAACCCTAGGAGAGTGGCACCTCCCCATGACGGCTGTCACTTCCCTTTGGGACTGAACTCTTGTCCCACCACATCTGCACATGCACTGAGATCTCACAGCGTTTCACTGCTAACTCAGAAGTTGACTCTTCTGTGGCTCCTGGCTAGAGGGAAAGAAATGCGTCGGGGGTGGAGAGACAGGACTCCCTCCTCGGGGAACCTCTACCTGGCCACAGGCTGAGGGATGGTCCCCGGGCTCACGGGCACCTGGACGCCCTTCTCCCACTCCTGTCTCCAGGGGTCTGCCAACACGTAGTACTCGTCCGGGTTCAGCTGGTAGGAGTCGTGCAACTTCATGGCAGTGATCAGGTCTGTCCTAAACACCTGGGCAGGAGAGAGAGGGACACTGACATTTGATACTTGCATTCTTTCCCAGAGCACTGGCAGCTGCAGGGTAACCATGGAGCTGCAGTGTAACAAGGTCACTGTATCAACACAGAACAAGTCTGACTTAGTACAGAAGCCCTTCGCCTGACACACCTTTTACCACACTCAGGCTTGGGCGGCAGCAGCTGACACAACACTGCCCTCTCACCCCTCAGTTAACTAACAACAGACCAGGCGCAGCAGTGACTACGGCACATCAACAAAACAACAAAACCTACTCTGTCCTCCTGCCGAACTAAGGACTCTCAATTCACCAAGAGGGCTGCTGAACATACCAGCTTCAAAAACCTCAGGGCCAGGGGATACCCACACTTAAATCCCCACTACAGCTGAAATAAAAGGGGAGTTGTTCTTTGGGTCAATGCTCAGAAATAAAACCCCACTAACCATACAACTATTCAAGCCAAAACCTACTCAAAGCCCCAGCTTCACCTCCTACATCACCTGCACGCAACCAGCCCCTGCGGCCCAGGGAGCCATGACACATGGCCTGTGTCTGGTTACGGCAAGGCCTAGGATGACCGGTGCCCGGCAGAAGCACAGGCCTGAGAAACTCTGGAAGAGAAGTAACAAGAGGTCACTGCAGCACCAAGTCAGAGGCCACCTGCAGCGTGCTCACTGCCAGCGGCCTCCACAATCCATACCCCAGAGACAGGATGAGGGAGACCGAGAACCCGTGCTCCTCCGTGCCAAAAACAGACCTACAAGTTTCAAAAGTGCCCCTCTGCCGAGAGATCACCCCAATTCCTCACCACAGGGAAAAAAATAGCTGGAAGGGCGACTTCCCTACACCTGCTCCTCTGAGGCCTCACAGCCCTGCAGCACCCCATCAACCAGGCCCGACCCGCGCGGCACGCACTGTCTCGCAGCTGAGGCTGCGCAGCTGGCTCCCTCGTCCCCAGCCCACTCAAGTGCAAGGGCTACATGAGGAAGCTCTGGTCCTGGCCTGAGTGCCGCCCGAAGTTGTGTTTGGCTCCGAGCTGGCCTGCATCTGCGAGCTGCCTTTGTTTACACAAGCCACAATGCAGAACCCTCTCTGCTCGGGACAGGGAGTTCTTTCTTGTGCTGCTAAGAGCAGTTCACATCATATGCCTGCTAATAGGTCCGTATTTGTTTTTCCTGGTGGCTTTTCAGGTTGGTGATCACTTTAATAAACTTCACCATAATAAAGTCTGAGGCAGTGTCTGAATAAAAAGGCCACTTTGCCAGGCTGCCTTTCTGATCTGGGCTTTCCTCCGGAATGCCAGTCCTCATTTCTACAGTCCTGTAAGAAGAAAGAGCCTGGCCATGCATCTTGCACAAAAACACACCTAACCTCAGGTTCCCAGAGCGTGCCCGGGCGTCCAGCCCAGTGCTATCTCCTTCCCCAAAGGAATGTCCTTTAAACCCAAGCCATGTGTCTACACCGTCGGGAAGCACACAGTCCATCTAAGCACACAAGTAAGTCACAAAAGAGTTTGCCGAAGAAGGGAAACCAAACTGAAGCAACGAGGTGAGAAAGCAGCCCACTATTCCTTCACTCCAAGTCCCAGGAGAGATGCCGGTTGAGAGCCACCCTCAGATGGGCTAAGCTCCCAAGTCCCGGCTGCATTCAGTACAGGACATGCCTATGTACAAAGAAGATGGGTCAGGGACAAGGCCACCATGAGGTCACTCCTACTTGGCTCAGGGGCTCCAACACCACTGCTGGGCCTGCCTCACAGGTGTTAGGGCCCCTTGCATGCCTGTGCTAAAATGACAGCAGCACAGTGTGCATGCCAGAAAGGCACTGTCAGGGTCAGGACAGCAGCAAGGAAGAAGGGCTGCAGGGCACATGAACAGCACCTGGCGTGAACCCAAGGAATGAAGGGCCACCTTCCCACCATGCCCAGGCCGCACGCATCAGCGCTTCTAGGATGGCTGTCTGCAGTCCCAAAGACGTACGTGCTTGCTCATGGGGCTGTAAGTCCACAGCCAAGTAGCCCTCCACTCACTGACACAGCACCCGCCTGGCCTCCCTGTCAGCTCCCAGCTCCAAGGAGAGCCCATCTCTCCCTGCGCTGCCATCACAGCACAAAGCCAACTTCACAGCCACCCCAACAAAAAGCGGCAAAACACCGAAAGTTCAACCCAAAAGCTCTTTCCCATAATCTGCTCACTTGAAAAATATGATAAACTAAAACGCCTTATTTGAATCCTCAGAGCCCAGCAAAGGTTTTCACAGCAAACAGTCTCAGGACAAGTGAGGTGCACTAACCAACAAAGGCCAGCAAGGAGATACACCTGAAAACAATCTGAGGTCGAAAGATAAACAACAAAATGCAGGGCAGCAGGGGAAACAGAAGATGGGAAACAAATTGAGAAAGGGGAGGGAGCCTTAAGCATAATCCCCAAAACAGAACTCCCAGAATTACATTGGGTTGTTGCCAAATAAGCCACAAATTCATGGCTAAAACTAACTTGAGGCTGGCAGTGACTTGGCAGCAGCTGAACCCGCTCATCTCCTGGCCAGAAGAAAAGTTGTTGGGAGCCAGCGAAGATGGAACAGGAAAGGAAAAAAAGAATACAATTAATAATGATAGCTAACAATTACTGAGCACGTTTTATGTGCCGGGAACAATTCGTGTGCTTTGTATGCATAAGTCTATACGTATTAACCCACTTACTCTTCACGGGAATCCTATGAAATGCACACCTGTATTACCCCATCTTACAGATGTGTAAACGGGCGCCAGGAGGCTAAGGAACTCGCCCAGGACTGCACATAGACACAACCAAGCAGGCGTGTGTGGGAGCATGTACTCGGGCATACACGTGTGTGACATGCACAATCAGGCAAGCATTCAGGAAGTACCTCCGAGGGCTTCCGGTCTTCATGTCTGGAGCAGGAACTTCTCCTGTGCTGGGATCGAGAATTCTGGGACCAGGTAGTTGACAGGCCTAAAGAAACACATACCCAATTAGAAAGTGCACAGGTTACTGAGTTCCCCGGGGTGTCCTTCCCCAGACTCAGCAAGCCTCACCCCAGTGATGCCCCACGATGCCCCCCACCCGCCCTCTCAGAGCTCTTCACTGTCGCCATTCATCTGAACACTCATTTTCCAAAGCAGGCCTGGGGTAACCACAGGTCTGCTGGGTGCAGGGACAGCATACAAGCAGATAGCACCACCGAGCACCACGCAGAAGAAGCCTGCACTCTTAAAGAGGGTCAGTCTCACATCATTACACACTAGAAAACATCTTCCCTTACTGAGTTTGCAATAAGCTCTCTAGGTCCAAGATCACTCTGCTAAATCCTGAGGCCATGCCCAAAACATTACAAAAAACTTTTAACCCCATAGGCATAAAACTTTGGCGTTCCCTACAACAAGGAACTCCAAACAACTCTAAAACTGCCTCTTCCACTCTCCCTTAAAAATGCCATTGGCTCTTTCCTCCCTTTCTTCCAAGGTGCTCTCACACCACTGAATGGCCTCTGTGAGGCACTCAGGCCTCCTAATTGCCACCAAGGCTGAGCTCTCCTCCGGCCGAAACTTCCCTGCGGCCCAGAGCGCCCCATCCCCGGTGAAATGCTCTCTCTGCCTCAGTGCAATTTTCCTTCAGGTCCACACTCTGACTTCCTCCTCTCCTGTGTTCCCATAACACTGGTGCTTCCAATCAAGAACACAGAAGAGACTGTCAGACGTACATTTCTAGACTAAGCTTCCCCCACGCCCCAGATCCAGTGTGACCTTCACAGTAGATGCCAGCTCTAGGGTGTTCCTTTGCTCTGTCCACTCAGCATTCTGAGTACTGAGTTTCACACAAACCGCACCTCCGCCATGTATATCCCTACTGCAGTAAACAGCACCTCCATTTCTACCTGAGGTCATCCACATGCTCCTCACTTGGACACATCCAGTCAACGGTCAAGCCATCGACTGAACCTTCCAATACCCTGCAATTCCAGTCCCTTTTCTCCACCTGCGGCTTGCCCCTATTCATCTGTTAGGTGGACAATTAATTGCAGAAGTTCCCTCTGTGGGTGCCAGATTGCTGCAAAAGACTCCAAACAGCTGCTACAACCACTGTAGGTTTTAATCCAACTCCATAACAACTACTTCCAAGTCTCACCAGAAACAATCAGCACCCCAATTCTGAACACTTACACCATTAGCCAGAAGTTAACCCAAAAAGGTAAAAGACAGAGCATGGGGAGCTACTACTCAACCAGTGCAATCGCCCATTTCTCACATTGAAGCCTCGTCTATCTCCACACAATCCAGAGTCAAGGACATAGAATTAAAGCACCAATGAGACCTTGGGGACATTATGAAACAGACTCTGCACTTAAGCCCATCATCAGATTTGCAACAGCCAAGACTAAAGAGGATTGCTGAGCTTGCCTCCGACAGGCAAGGAGTCGGCGCTACCCTTGAGCACCTGTTCTGTGACCAGTTACTAGGTCAACCGGGTGCTGTTACTTCTGCAAACTGGACTTCCTACACGTGGACCCATGGCGTTTCAGTAAGTACTTTAGAATTTTTTACTCCCACACTGAAAGAAATATTCTGGGGACACTGGGGTAAAGCCAACTTGCACAAGTTCTATATCTGCTCAGTACAGAAAAAACAAAAGGCAGAAACCAAGTTAAGAATGTGGAGGTGAAGGTGGCTGAGCGATCCCTACATCTGCAGAGTGGCCAATTCTCCCCGCTCTCATCTGGGAGGCCAACCTCCAGGCTGGAAGGAGAGAGAGGGAAAGAACACAGAAGGTCCAGGTAGAGAAAGGGGTGACTTGGGGCAGAGACAGATGACCCCTTTACTTTATTTGCTATGGAAAGAGTTATAAATATGGAACAAACCTAAAAATTTACAAAGAATCACTCCATTTCTGTACTCTTAGAAATTCACCTTAAGTATTGACTGGAGGACCCTCAGGAGTCAAATACTTTCAGAGCACAGCAGAAACAACAAAGTGCTCATTCTTGGGTTTGTGAGCTCCTCCTGGGATCTGTCAGGACCCTCCCAAGTACTTTCCAAGGTCCCCAGGCAGCTTGCTGCTTTGTAGACATAGAATGCAACCTGAATAATGACACTCATTTGGTATATGCTTACAATGGAACAGTACCCAGTAATAAAAAGGAATGCACTATTAATACATACAACATGGATAAATATTTAAATAATTATGCTCAGTGAAAGAAGCCAGGCCAATCAAAGGACACATACTGTACTTCTCCATTTCTATAAATACTTGGAAAATGCCAACTAATCTATAGTGACAGAAAGCAGATCTGTAGTTGGAGAAGAGGGAAGGAAGGATTGTTTTGATTTTGATTATGTCATGGGTATAAACATGTCAAAACGTATCAAAATGTACACATGAAATGTATGGCTCACTATGTCAATTATCCTTCAATAAAGCTATTAAAAAGTTACTATCATTGAAATATCGCCCATTCACAGTGAAGAAAAAGAGAAGCCTCTGTATTCACCTCACGTGGGTGATCTGTCTAAAACCTGGACTTGGCTGCCGCTGAGCCAGGTGAGAAGTGATGAGGGGGAACTGCACGGCTAGGCTACCAGAGAGGCCTCCTCCTCCTGGTCAAAGGCAGGCAGTTACTCTATCAGCGCCATCAGTAGAAGGCATGGACTTCACAATGTAGCATACAGCCTAAATGTCAGTGCTGTGCATGCAAGAAAGTCTCAGTATTTTTCTGAAAAGTGGACAAAAAAATATAAAAAGAACTGAAGGTGGAAGGCATCAAAAATCTACTTCTGTTTTACCTAACAGAAGATATGGTTTTGAGCTCAAAGAAAATGAGGTCAAGGAAAATAAAGCAACATTCAAAGACAGATGGGTGAGGCCACTGCTTCCTGCTTGGAATGCACCTCCATCTATGGACTCATTCATGGGAGTCTCAAGCAAGACTGTCTCGCCATTATTGTACCAGAGCCCCTCCCTACAGCCACACTCGCCTGACCAGAAGGTCAGGGAGCTCCCAGAATATTATCAAAACATACTACATTCCTTTTTAATTAAAAAAATTATGTTATAAAACTCTTCATAAGGTGTAGGGGTTGGGGTAGGTCAACCTAGAAATAACAGAGTATTTCAAACTCTGCAAGGACTGAGACAGTGATTCACACTACAGCAGAGCACCAGACACTCAGCCAACACCGCGCCGCTGCAAGTACACTTGGCTGGTGTTGCTCTTCGCGGGTGTTTCCAGAACGCTAACACTTAGTAACAAACTAAAGACTACGACAAGTAAAACTTTTGTTTTCTCTTCCTTTGGCTTTCCAGGACAGAAGCTGAGAACTCTAATAAAAATTTGGAAAAAAATATCCAAAGTCATTTTATGGCCATTCGTAAGGTAATATTATTACCTAAATTCAAGTCCACTCAAGTGTCAAAAAAATTTTTTTGTTTTAGACAGGGTCTCATTAGGTAGTGCGGGCTGGCCTTGAACCTGCTTATATGGCCCAGGATGGCCTTGAACTCACAGCAATACTCCGGCCTCAGCCTCTCAAGTGCTGAGATTACAGGTGTGCACCACCACACCCGCTTCGAGTGTCAAATTTAAATGACTTAAAAATTTTTGACACATACACTATTCAAGCAACAAGTGTATACTGAACACTGAAAAGAAAGGGGGACTTTCTGTCCTGTTTCTAATGTCTCTTTAAGACAACCTTGGGGGTAAGACAGCTATAAAAGGCCCATAATCACAGCACAGAGTATGGACCCTGTCCACGCACAACGTTCTGAGCCCTTCTTTCCAGTTCTATTATACATCTTGAATGCACCTTTTGAAATATTAAAAATAGCCTCCTGTCTTGCCCTAGATCTACAATAAGGGAAAACCTCAAGAGTGAATCTAATACATCCTGAACACACCCCCACACGCATAGCCCTGTGTGATACACTTCTTAGGCTGCGGCGTGCAGGGAAGGCTCTCCCACTGGAATGAACCTCGGGCTCCACGTTCACAGCCTATGGAAGAATCCTGCCACTGCCCAGACAGTGAGTCCTGTCTCTCAGACACTGCTTCTGGACACTAAATAGCACGCTGCTGCCTTCAGGAGTGTGAAAGCAGCATGACACTTAACATGCAGCACCAAGTACCCAGTCCCACACTGTCAGGCAGCCTCAGTGCACAGCCCCGACACAGCCCTGGGCACCACTTAAAAGCTAAGCCAGCCCTGTGCAAGTACAGCGATACCCCGTAAGCTCTTACCCAAAACCAAGCAAAGTTAAAGTAGCTGCTGGTACCAGCTTTAACCGCACGACGGAAGACAAGCATCTGAGATAACTGTGAGATGACTGCGGTTCGTAGGGAGGGCTGAGCCTGCACCTGCCAGAGCTCTTCCAGCCCTGCCCAGCTGACTTCTGTGGTCAAACTCACTTTCACCTTCTGGAAAACAAAGGCTTCACACTTTTTCCTAAAGAACTGGCCCGGAATGTTCAGCCTATTTAAATAGTAAACACCTCCTTCAGCAAACCAACACGCCAACATTTCAGTCACCCTCCCTCCTGCTAAAGTGCAAGCCCAAAGATCACAGAAAACATATCCGTCCAGGTCACTGTGCAGTTGTCGGTACTCCTTTAGCTCAGGATGGCTCTCTGCTGCAAGTACGGCAAAAAGACAGGCCCAGCCACTGGCCCAGCTATCAGTATGCCTTGAAGAGTAGGGGTACAACACATTGCGTGGTGTTACAGAGCCAAAATCCCCACATTTCAAGAACTCCTACCAAACTCCTTGCTATCAGAAGATAGAACTGGTGACAGAAAAGGAAGAAATTAAGCACACATCCAAACAAGAGCAGAACTGGAGACAGAGGTACCTTTTATGCAAATGAGACCACAAAGACTAAAGCCCGGAAAATCAAGTGTAAGAAAAAGGTTAAGTTTTCAAAACAGGAGGAAATCCATTACATGCAAGGAGGTCTAAAGGGGTCTAACGGAGGAAGTGAGCTCCACCCACCAAGAACGCTGGTCTCTCTTCACCATCTATTAGCAAGGCCAGAGCGCAGGAGAAGCAGAAGTCCACTCCGCGGAAGGCCCTGTCTGCCTCTCACCCCCATGCATCACCAAGAGGAGAACAAGCAGCTTGAGATTCAGTCGTCTTTCCCACCGCTCCCTGCCACCAGTGACACAGAGTACATACAGCCCTGCCGACGACCGAGGAAGACTGAAGTGTCCCCACCGGACCTCATGTGTGGAAACCTAGAAACCAGGGCACCTAGGAGGTCCCCCTGCAACGCCAGGCTCCAGATCTCCTTCCCACGGAAGCCAACAAAGCCCTGAAAAATTAGTAAGTTAGAAACAGTAACCCCTGCTTCACAACTTCAGGGGTTAACTGTAGATAATCAGCACACTTCTATCATTCTTTCTGAAAGGGAAAGCAACCAATTTCTCCCGGGACCTTTAAGAAGCACCCAATTTAAAAACCAACAGAACTGTCCAGTGCCACGGTGCATGCCTATAATCATAGCTACTCAGAAGGCTGAGGCAGGAGCACTGCCACGTTTGAGGCCAGCATGGTGAACATAATGAAAGCCTGTCTCAAAAACTGAAAAAGGTCTGAAGATGCAGCTCAGTGGCAGAGCACTTGCCTACCCTGCATGAGGCCCTGCATCCATCCTCAGTACAAAAACCAAAAATCAGCACCATTTGTATTTGACCCCTCATCCTAACCAAAGACCGAATGTTTTAGATAAGAGTACTGTTATGAAGTACTATTTAATTCTTGTTTAATTTTTATAGGAAATATATGTGTGTGTGTATATACATATATACAAGGGTACAGATTGGAAACTATTAATTGTCCTTAGACAACCGGTAATACATAATTCCTGCCAAAGGGACACTTGATGTTTTAACTAAGTTCTGCAGAAATTAATACAATCTTTAGCTTTTGAAAATCATGAAAGTAGCTGGTAGACCCATTACCACGTTTGCCAAAACCCCTACGGACAGAGCATCCTGGGGACAGAGCATCCTGGGCCATGAAGCAGGAAATTAAAGGCTTATTTCCCTGGGCCACGCCCTGGCACGATTATAACTTCAGAGTTTGGCTCGGCCACCAGTCCCAGGAGCCCAGCAATTACAGACGCAGCCCGCAAACACCCAACACTAACTACTCCGTCCAAATGCAAGGACGGGCCTCCAGGGCTCCTGGAGAAAGACACCCACAACCAGGACTGCCTCTGGATGAGGACTCACTCCTGGCACGGAAATGCCCATCCGTCCCCAATGGAAATACCACACACTGGTCTTCCCCTGGGCCAGGCCGGAGTCAGAGCACTGGGCTCCAGATCCAGGAGCCTGCAGGACTCAGCCATGACAATGGCTGGTGCTGTGGCCCCATGCTGATGTCTCAGCTGCCTCTCCTCCACTTGGACACGCTCTGCCCTGGGCCGGAACTGCTGCCAAAATTGTGTCACGCCTGCAGGCTGGAGGGCCTGGGGAGTGGCCACTGTACACACCCGGCCCTTCTTATAGGCAAAGCAAGACTCTCCAAATGCACAGGCTCAGCTGAGGAGCGCGGGACAGGGGAACTACCTACAGGTAGAGTTCCTTTATAAAAACCCTACTATGGGAAAAAAGCCACATACCTCCTTGCCACTCTCACCCCCGCCACCGCCACCTTCACCATCACCACCATCACCACGTGTACACAAAGAGACAAGCTCCATGCAAGTAAGTAGCTCGGTGACAAAGGCCTGCACTATGAACCAGCAGCCCTTGGAGAGAATGGAGAGGGAAGTGTTCCATGGCATGAATATGCACATATTTTTATAAGGCCTGACATCCCAGGAATTCTTAATGAAAGCTGTTTTGTTTTCCACATGGATCACCCACCATAATTGTCAAATCACTGAGCCTGGACAGGCCGCACAAGCATAAAGCATCAACATATGTTTCACATTGAACCGACTGTTTAACGAAAGTACAGCCTACCTTCTACCAGAACTATCATTCCTACCCCTCCCACCAAGGTCAGATTTCCGTGTCTAGCCTAGGGCTAGGACAGAAGTGAGCTTTGGCAGCTACCTAGTTAACCCCCTAGTGTCCTAGAAATAGTTACCTTAATCCCCAGCCCACAGCATCCGCAGGAAGGCTGGGCAGACATGAACACATTAGGAGAAGGAAAATGGTCCATCACAGAAAAGGTCACACTGGACGGGCACAGTGCTGGTGAGGACTTTGGACTCCGCGTTCCTCCTCTTCCTCCTCCCTCTCTCACCAGTTCAAGGTGAGCAAGCACTCCTAAGCGAGACACTGGCCTGCAAGGTCTGCTGTGGGCTGAACTGTGATACCCAACCCCCCCAAAAATATTCACATTTTGACACCCCGAGTTCCAGTACTTCCAAATGTGACTGTAGTTGGAGACAGGCACCTAAAAGCAGTGATTCAGTTAAAAAGAGGCTGTGAGGGTGGGCTCCAGTCCAGTCTGATCAGTGCCATTAGAGGAAACGCACTTACAAGGACAGGAAAGACATGCAAGAACACAGTGAGGAAAAGATCATCTGCAAGCTGAGGAGAGAGGCCTCGGAAGAAGCCAAACCTGCGGACACTTCTGTCTTGGACTTTCAGCCTCCAAAACTATGACAAAAGTCCTGTTGCTTAAACCGCCAGCCTTTGGTGCTTCCTTGCCGTGGTCTGAGCTGACTAATACAAGGGCCTTCCAGGCTGGCAGGAGTCTGTGGACAGAAAAGGCAGACTAGACCAGCAATGTGCCCAGAACTGCACTGTCAAATGTGACAGCCACTGGGCACATACGGCTTTCTAAATCTGAACTACTAATCAAGGTTTAAAATTCGGTTCCTCGGATGCATTAGACTAACATTTTCCGTCCGGTGGGACAGTGCCAGTCTAGAAGTTTGAGAGAAGAGCCTCAAGAACGACCACAACTTCTATCACCCCTCTGTCCCCTGGGAGGAAATGAGGCGGTGATTGGAGCACAGAGTGAACACGAAGCTGTTGCTCAATGCCCACCCTCCAAAACTAAACAAAGCAGGACACTTAGCCTTTCGGTGGGTAGTGTTAGTCTCTGGAGACAGTTTCTAAGACCTTCTGATTAATGCTGAACCTAAAAATAAAAAGCAAGGCGACTCTTTTAACTGCTGCAAGACAAAACTGTGCACTCCGGCAAGCAGCAGGCATTTACTGACTGCTTAGGAACTCCAGAGGACACAGCCTGGCACCAGAGGGGCAGACAATACCAAAGCCTGCTTCTGCCCGGAGAGAAACACTACCTTACACTGTAAACACTGGAGACAACAAGTAGGAAGGGCTGTGAAACTACAGAGCCTCCAGGTCAGAAGGCAGCACTCCCCAAGGCTCAGACAGGGCCTGACCTGCCTGCAGCTGGGCCCAACCCTTGATACCTCTCCCTAAAATAAGAGAAAAGCTTTTCTCTTTAGAGCCTCATTAACTCCTCTCTTGCTCCTAAGCAGTCGCTACCACTGCCTGCCCTGAAAGCCCAATCAATCCCTTAGCTCTTCAGCCCTTACAGGTCTGGTCACAGTTCACCTTTGTATTCTATACCCAAACCCTGACACCAGTCCCACCCTCTCCAATTCTACTTCCCACTGCTCCATGCCTGCACCCACACCAAACCGGCAACCAAAATGTCATGTGACTACGTTTAGGTTCCTGGTCCCCTGCTACATTTTCCATGGCTGTGACCATAGCCCCTGTAGCAATGAACGCTCACTTTCTAATGTGCAGCTCTTAATCTGCGGACAACTTAACAGAGCAGGAAAGTAAAGAGAATGCTTTTTGCCTAAAACCTACTTCACCTTTCAGGAACTACTCTACCTTCATCTCCTCCACAGATTCCCCTGACCCTGCCCTCCGAACTTGTGCATATATTTCTACAGCACATCAGAAAGAGAACTCTACAACCCCCTGACGACTGCATAGCACAGCTGTTTTGACGTACGTCCACGGTGAAGTTCCTTGAAGGCAGCCCCAATTCCTTTCCCATCACACATGACAGCAAGCATTCTTTCAAGGTTTCTTGAGTGTAAGCTACAATGTCTACAAGCTAATGGGCTCAGGGACCGTGCTAGGTATAAAATTTCCTCCCATTACATGAGGGAAGTTCTTCTCTAGTCTGTTAGCTTCTCAGTCCAGATACTGTGCCACATTTATTTTGACTGCCTAGAAGCCAACTAACTTCTGCTTCTCAGCTGCACTGTGAAAATACAAGGTTCCAGAGAGCTGAGATCCACACAGCAACAGCATGAAACGGCGTCACGTTAAAGCCAAGGGAAGAGCAGGGACTTGCAGCCCTGTGAAGAACCTGGACTCCATACGTTCACATCCCACTAGGCAGTCCTCAATCTCCCTGTGTTTGGAGCTGAACTAGTTAATAATTACCTGGCTTTGATTAAGTTCCCTTTTCATAAAGAGCAAGCGCAAAGTGCCATAAACGATGTTTAAGAAAAACAGACACACCAGGGACTCTTGGAACTGGATTATTCATCCCTGGATAACAAACAGGAAGCCTCAGGAATGCCTGCCTGCAATCAACCTTACCCGGAAAGATCTAGTTACAGAGCTGCAGTATCACACTCAGATGTGTTTCTCCAGGCCTTGGCTCTCTCTGACCTGCCTGATATGCAAGGGCCTCAGCTATTTAAAGCATTACATTAAAAAATCATGTTTTTACACTGACCCAACCCTGGTAGGTTCCAAGAACAACAAAGCAGGACTTACTGCCATTGTCGTCAGAATCCTCACTGCTGCTGGGAAGGCGACCTCGTTTCATGATCTCCCCGGGAAACAGCAGGCAGCCTGCAAAGCAATGAGACAGCACTTAACCCAAGATGATAATACACAATCATCAAGTTGTGCTTCAGATGGCAGCCCAGGATTCACGGCAAACAAAAGCAAACAAACGGCTTTAAGTAGCATTTGAATTGCAAACGGTAAAAAGACCAAAGACATAATTAGTTGCAATCATTAACAGACCAGGTTTTAAAAGGAGGGGGAGGGGTGGAGAAGTCACGTATCAGCAGGTCCCCAAAGGTGCCAGGTTTCTCTCTATATTCCTGAGACATCATTACTACAACTACTCCGGGAGCCTCTAGCTTAGCTGACTGGCGGCAAGCACTGCAGAAAAAAATCCACAGCAATGAACACTGCTTGCTCACTACAGGCAGATTCATATTTCATGGGGGGTGGGCATGGTATTTGCACTGCGCTGGCATGATCATGCTTCTCTGACAAATTCTACTAAAATAATCCTAAAAACCAAGTAACCCAGAGCTCTAGAAACAAAACCAGAGGGTAACAGGAATGCAAACGTCTCCCTGGCCATCTCCAATCCCTCAGCAGTTCACAGCTGGAACAAGAGCCACAACCATCTCATTCTGATGCATTCCTACATCTTAGGAAAGGAGTCAGAACAGGTGTAAGGGCGACCTCTCCAAGGTCATGTTCTAGGCAAGGAGCTCCTAATTCAAATACAAAGCCGTCACCACTCCACTTCTTTTTCCACCCCAACTCTGGACCAGCAATGAAACTGAACCAAGCTAAGAAATCAATTCCAGGCAACACAATGGCACACACCTGTAATCACAACACTGAGGGAGGGGTTAAGGCCGAAGGGTCACAAGTTCAAGTACAGCCTGGGCGTCTTAGGGTGACCAAGTCTCAAATTTTTAAAAATAAAAAGGGCTAAGGATGTAGCTCAGTGGTAGAGTGCCCCTAGGTACAGAAAGGGAGGGAAGGAACCAGTTCATATAAATACCTAAGCCACCTGGCCAGTTCATTCCAGTCAGCTGGTGGTGACAGGCCTCTAGCACCACCCTCAAGAGAAAAACTGCATTTGGGAAACAGGAGAGAGGGCCAAGGCTGAGGGGCCATTCACTGAATTTTTCCAGGTGAAAAGTGCAACTATATTCACACAGGGCAGAACCTTAAACAAATTCAAGTTTTCCCAAGGTAAGACTATTTATCACCCTGACATCTGTACAGCCCTGATCTGAGCCACATCAATGACACCCAGTGAGGAAAGATTCTTCATGTCAGAGAAAGTATGGTAGCCTATTACCTACCCATCCACCCCCTCAGGCGAGTACCTGCCAGCCCTCGCCTTACTGGGAATCACAACACACACGTGGTCTTTCCAGTAAAGTGTGGCCCAGAGGAACAGTGTAGAGAAAAGTATAGAGAACCATCACACTAGAACAAGACAGTAATTAAAAACCCAAAGCTCCAATCTAAATGACCTGTAAAAGAGCAAAAGCAGCTGCACCACAGTAAAGGGGATCAAAATGTGCCACTTTGCTCTAAGGGTTTTTCTGAGTTGAAGGCAACTGAGAAATAGCAAGCTCAGAAAGGGCTCTCTGGGCGGGGATATAACTGCCTTCTCCCTCTCAAACCAAAAGCAGGGCACACATTTCCCTTCTGTAAAGGAAATTTCCAGTTGTAAAGGTCCTTATGCATAAATAACCCTTAGCTTCCATTAGTTTACCCCACACATTCCCTAGTCATCTTTCCACAACTCGCCTCCCTAAACCCAAAGCCCCTTTTCCCAGTTATTACCTTTGCTAAAATAGTATATAAGCCCCCAGGTCTAACTGCTTTTAGGGGATTTTCACTTCTTTTCTGTGACACACCATACCCTCTTCACTTAAAATCACGTGAACATCAATGAAGTTTGTGTGCCTTCCCTCCTGTACATTTTTTTGTCATATTAATTCAATGGCTCCCGTTAACTGACCCTATGCAGGCAGAGGTTCTTCCTCCTGATTCCACTTACAAACTGGGCACATACAATTCACTCAAACAGTTGGGTCCATAATCTACAAGTGCAGCATTTTATATCTTCTACTTGAGAAACTCACCCAGTGTAAGTGTGGCATTTTGTTAACCAATTGATTCTCCAAAAACGACTCAAAAAATTCACAAGGAGGAAGCCTAACTAGGAGTCCTAAACAGGGACACAAGCTATCTTAGGGAAACACTGTGGGCTAGGGTTTAATGGTTCGGGCAAAGTCACAGCCCCAAAATCTACCCACCTCCTCTCCACAGAACCCCACTCATAACACTCAGCACCTACAACTTGGCCACTTCTGCCAAGTTTCCATGATGGACAAAGACTTGTGACCCACTCGGCCCACCTGACCGTCTTCACTGATGTGTGTGCCACAAATGCCAGCTGCTGTCAGTTCACTGCTCCTCCACCCTTCTAGAGAAGGCACTTTGCTCCCCGCTACAGACCCAACAGGTACAGAAGAAAAGGACAAGGCAAATCATCACTCATGCCCAACACTGCTCTAGCTCCTCAAAGCCTATGTTACCAAGAGCTTTATTTATATATATATACACACACACACACACACACACACACACTCACTCACACTCACACATAAAATTTACTACCTGAAGAGGCATTTCTTAAAGTACAGCCAGGACACAGGTTTGCCACACCATGGGCAGGTGCAAGAACTATGGACGTAAAACTATGCAAGTAAAAGAGTAAAAGTAGTATTTTCCTCCTAATGAATTCCATTTTCACTCGCCCTGAAGATTCTAAGTAATGAAGGTTGAGGATGCTGGACTTTGCTTCTCCAGGGAATCCAGCAGTGATGGGGGTTAGTGCTCAAAGAATTTCCTCCTCTGCGGCTATAATGTACTTAAACCTTGACATCGGGCTGATTTATCTCACCCAGGGCTGCTTACTGTATCAGAAAATCAAAGTCCACATTACTGTCTTTTACACAATACAGTGGCTGTATGTTGCAAGCATCTGTCCACTAAAAGCCAGCATGAGAAACCAGAGTGTCTCTGCATTATTACTTTTCCTGACTCTTACCTAGATGGTAGTGGGATTAGGTAATAATCAATTAAAAGTGCTGTTATTCACAGCACTCCAGAGAAACCAGCAAGAAAATGTAATAGTCTATAATGCATCTAATATATGGGAGGCTCTGGAGGAAAATCACTGTCCCTGGCCTCAGGGAGCTTCTGGCCTAATGGAGAAAATGAGCAAGGAACGGGAATTCGCCATCACAGGAGAGGCTGATGGACTGAACTAACGCTACTCTAGACTAGGTGTGAAAGAAATCAAGTTCAGCCAGTTCAACTCTCTTGTTCCTTTCTCCATATACTACATTCTACCCTGTTTTGTCATAAAAGAGGGCCTCACCAGATGCAGCCCCTCAATGTTGGACTTCCCAGTCCCTGGAACCTTGACCAAGTACTGTTTATATGACTCAGTTCAATGCTACATTAGCGTTCAACACTCCAAACACCTGATACCCACAATTCAAAATAGAAGATTTCTTGGCTCAGGGTTTCTGAGGGTTCAGCCTCCGACCTGCTGGCTCCAGGGCAGAAATGGCATGGCAGAAGCCCCTGGCAGAAGAAAGCTGCTCCACCTATGGCAGCGAGGAAGCAGACAGAATGCAAGAGGACCAGAACAAGAGAAAAAGGTGGAGGGCAAGAATGAACCCTTGTGGGTCGTGCCCCCAGTGATCTCCCTCCAACCAAGCCACACCTCCTGATAGCATATTCAGCTAAGAACTCATCAATAGACAGGTTGATCCAATGAGTATATCACCCTCAGGACCAAACCACTTTCCAAAATCTCACCTCTGCACACATGACACTTTAGGGGATATTTTAGATCTAAACCATAACATTCCTCTTTTTAGAATTTTGTTTGTTTTCACTTTTTGAAACAGGGTCTCAGTATTCAATCCAGGCTGGTTCCGAAGTCACTACAGCCCCGGATGGTCTCAAATTCACAACCCTGCTTCAGCCTCCCAGAGCTCTAGGATTACAGGCATGTGCAACCACGGTCAACACTGGAAATTTTTTACTTTGTTTTTCAATGTTTTATCTAATAACGTTACTAGAAAAGAAAAATTCAGGACACACTAAAATGGTAAGGCAGATTTTATTCATAGGAGACCAAGGAATTAGGCATAGGGACCACAGGAATGTGGTCTTACAGTGGGGAAGTGTCTTAAGTCATTTTGCTGAGACAAAAATACCAACGCACACAAGTTAAAGAAAGGTTTATTTAGCTCAGTTTGTAGAGGTTTCAGCACATTAACTGGTTGGCCCCAAGGCAAGGTGGCACAGCAAACAGACACCTCAGAGGAGAAACAGATCATGGTGGGAAGAAGCAGCAAAGCAAGCAATCAAGGAACATGCAGCTTCTTTCTGCCCCTATTAAATCCTATCTAAACTGCCAGGATTAGGGTAAGTGCCAAACTAATCAGTGGACTGACATAGTAATCACCTACCCTTAATCCCAGAATCCTTAATCCTAGTACACTGCCATGAGAGTCATACACTCTGGATCCAGCCACCTCTGAACAAGCCCCATCTATGACTCCATGAGGCTTTGGGGGACATGCAGACACAAACTGTAATAGGAAGCAAGATGAAATCAACAGAGACTCCATCAAGGACAAGTGGGGATTTATAACCAAGGTCAGGGAGGGTCAATGGAAACTTCAAAGTTAAGGAATTGCTCGCTAAACTGACTTTGATAAGAATTACTGTTGGAAGCAAGTTGGAATGATAAAATAGGAAGATGGACAGAACCCCAAAGAAGGCAAGAGACTTCCCCTAGAATGACTTAACAGAATTCTTGTTCAAACTGGATGCAGCAAGGACAGAAAGGTCAATAACCAACTCCTGCCTTATTATGTATGTGTATCTCTAAAAATCAAAGTAATTGCTAGCACAAAGATCTTAATCAAGTTAAATATGAAAAGAAAACATCACACATAGGGGCCAGCTGCTGGTCAAACAGAAGGCCTCATAGGACACCT